CAAATTTGTAGCTCGCATTACGTTTTATTTGTCGATGGCCAATGGCTACCGTCGCGGTCATTTTTCGGCCAGTTTTTCGACGTTTTGCCTGCCACTCTGCACTGGTGACCACTTAATATGTCCTTGGGCCGCCGCAGCAGCAGCGGCAGCATCAGCATCAGCCGCCCCAACTAGCGGCAAGTGTAATTAATAACTTTGTTTGCATAAGTGACCCGAAAAAAGAGCAGAGCAGAACAGAATGAAACGGAACGGACCAGAGCAAAGAGAAAATCAGCACTGCCCCCAAAAGAGGAGAAAGTCAAATAAAATATAAAATATAAAAAAGAAATGGAAATGGAAATGGATGTGGATGTGGAAGTCGGAGTGAAAGCAGAATGAATTTTCTTTAGTCCCCACAAAGTATTCCCAAAGACATACACACAAGTACACAAGTATATGTGAAGTCACCCAATTAAGAGTGACATTTTCGGGCGACTGAGGAAATATTTAATATTTGTAAGCGGCAATAGGTCTTTATCTCTGCCGGCCCAATTAGTATGCCATATGGGGGCTTCCGCCATGCCATCTTGCATAAACAATATCTCGGCAGAAGGAAACAATTTCCCCACCAACTTGGCCATAATTCAGCTGCGAGTCTGAAGCTGCTGCTGCGTCGCAATCGTCGATAATACAGATTATGGCAAAAATATGCAAAACAGCACCAAATATCGTTGCGAATGAAAACAAATGCCAAAACGAAATCGCACAGCAGCTAAGGGAGCTGGAAAAAGCAGAAAAAAAAAAGAAAAGCAGAGCAACTAACGCGCAGTATTCGAGGCGCATTCAAATGAGATAAGGCAGCATTTTTTGGCAGCATCATGCATGAGTTCATGTGTGTTTGCTTGTGGGTGTGTGCTCGGCTTTGGCTGTGTGCGTGCCCCATTAGACGGCAGCCAGCAATTGTACGCAGTTACGTTTCTATTAAGCCAAGCAACATTCACATCCCACTTTCCCACCGCACACCCCTCCCCCATATTACCCGCCTTCGTCCTTGTCCAAAAGCCAACATTTTTCGGGCGCATAAAAGCAAATGGAAACAAGCAACAATGCCACCAAACTGCCAAAAAGCCGAACTTAAGGGATATCAAGAAGGAAGCGGAGCTGCTGGCTCTCGGTTACTTCTTGAAATTTTTGAATTGAAATTTTCTTGATATTAAATTCGATTTGGAAGTTTGTCTGCAAATATCCCAAAAAGGTAGACACATATTAGATCATTAAAAAAAGGTGTTTTATGAAAAGAAAAATAATTTTCCTCACAAAATTTATACAATGAAATTGTAAGGGTAAGTAAGCTTAAAGTTCTCAGCTTGCCCATACATTTTTTGTCCCTTATCTTATCTTAAACAAATTTGGCAACATACAATTATAGGTCTCCCAGATAAGAATACAATTTTTTAAACATTTTCCTCAAAAAATTTGTTTACACAAAATTGAATTGTCCTCACAAAGTCCTTTAAAAAATAGTGTATAAAAGCGTAAACTTTTAATCATTACAGAGCTCTTAATGTTTTTTTTCTATTTTAAAACTATGTTTCCGATATTTTAGTCCTTGGTTCGGAACTTCCCTAGACCAATATCCCCATAGACTTCAGGATATGCATAATGCATGCGGCTTCTCGCAGATGAGAGTGGAATAACAGCTCACACACACACTATGGCGCGTAAATGGAAATTGTGAGCCTTGGCTGGCATTTTTCGGTTGGCGATATCAAGCGACGTCTTTAAAACGCCATCCATTCCTGTCGCAGTCACAGTTGAGAGTCACATTCACAGTCACAGTCGCAGTCAAAGTTACACCCGCATTCGAACCGACGAAAGTGGCATAAATCGCGGCGCGCACATTTTGTTTGGCTGCCTGACGTTAAGATTTCCGTTTAAATAATTCAAAAATTTGTCGAAATGACAAATTACGCGACTCTGCATGTGTTTCATTAATTTGACGCTGCCTCAGCCCCCCACACATACTGAAAAAGTCGCATAAAGCCCAGATTCCACATACACACACGTGCCGAAAGCGGAAAAGCGGAAGAGCGGAAAAGCGCTGCGTGGCATTTCATTTTCATAAATTTTGGGACCGCCACAGCGACAAATGACAACGGCAGACTCAATCAATTTGCGCCCTTCGAGGGCAGGGGGCGTGGCAAGTTGAGAGGCGTTAGTACGGTTTGGCTTGGCTGGCTGTGTTTGAATGTGTGTGTCTGCGGCTTACCCATATTGCTTTACGTGCCAAAATTTATGCTTATTAAAAAAAATCAGCAGTGCGCATCGAAAAGTCAACTTGGTTGACATCGCCGGCAAAGGACTCGCAGCTCCCACATCGTTGTCCTGTGGCCACAAAATGGCCGCCTGGATGTCCATTTGCCAACCGGTTTTGTGTGCTAACTCTGTGTATATAACATGTGTGGGGTCGGGCCCCAAACGGAAATGTATTTAATGGCTGGCGATATATATTTTAAAAGCCATTACTGCATATGACAGCGGAGATACATTGGGATTGCGGATAACGCGACATTTAAATCTCTTTTTCGAAGCTGGCTTTAATCATTAATTGGCCTGCGACAAAAAAAGATGCATTAACCCTTCCCGGGTTTCGAAGTTATAGCTTGGAACCCGTCGTTATATAACAAAATTTTAACTAAGTTAAGGGAGTGCTTTAAGTCAAATCAATAAAAGTATAAATAATAACTTAGAACTTGATCAGAGATAACGTTTTCGTGGATATAATCGAACTAATTTACTTATTTTTGTTACATAAGTGTTAAAATATAGACATTAAAATTGAACAAATTAAATAAACGTTTTAAAGTTTATAAAATTTTTTTTTAACACTCAAAACTTACACAACTTCATGGCATAGATAAAAAAAATGAGGTACAAAAGCAAGGAAATGCCTAAAATTTAATTAACCTAAATTGAGCAAATTTGAATTAAAAATAGTTAAAAAAAATAATTATTATATTAAGTTGAATAAACAATAATATGGTAGATATATGAAACTACCATTTAAAAGGTTAAACAATTTAGCAATTAGAGGACGTTTTAATTAACGCTCAGCCCCCGCTGAGCTTATAAATTAATATTTCAATAAAGCCGGATTACACTTGCCAAACATTAAGTTCAATTTCGGGCTAAAATGAAGTTTGCCCAGTCAAAATTTGCTCAGTCATGGGTAAACAGATTTGCCCATCAACTGCATTACGCATACGCCATGAGATCCAGCCACTAGTCACTGCACTCTAAGCAAACCAGCCCTGTGCTTGCAGCTCAGCCCTCGTATGTTACTACTAATACAGTCCTTTGGCGCACAGTGTGTGTGGTGTGTTTCTGTGTGCGGGGAGTGGGTGTGTGTGTGTGTACTTGTATCCTGACGATTTAGCTGATTTATGTTGATTTGTGTGCGAGAAAGTTGGCAGTGGGAGGCAAAACGATTCCCGGTTGTACACAAAGCGCACATATACAGCGAAACAGTTGCGTGTGCTTAAAGCCTGCACCAACAACAATCCCTACTCGTTCATACAGATATATGCACGTATATATATATAGGCTATGGCTACAGGAGCAGGGCAACCAACTGAGACCTACAACAACTGTGCCAGCAGTGCGATGCCGAAAAGCTCTCCACTAGAAATGCGAAAACCGAGCTCAATTTTGCCCAGCCGAGAGAAGGTCCTGGCGATGGTCGTGTCCTGTCGGCTTCGGTCGGCCGCCCGGTCGCACCCTGAATTTTCGCGGCTTCGTGATGTAAGTGAAGTGCCACTGTGCCAGTCGGTCTCGGTCTCCGCAAAAAAATCAAACACGCCCGAGCTGAGTCCGTGAGCGAGTTGTGTCGAGTCGAGTCGAGTCGTTAACGCCGAGCGGATACAATTTTGTTAAAAAGCCCAGGCATAGATACATTTTCCACCTCTTTTTGGTAACTGACAAAACCCTTAAAAATTCTACAATCAAGTGACCTCAATGCGAAATAAAGTCAGAAACCGTTTTTTTTGGCAAATATCGCGAAAAAGGCGTAACTGCTGCAGTATTGTGTAGGGAGAGCGCGAGTGTGTGAGTGTGCGTGAAAAATCAAAGCACGGGAAAAGCGAGAGAAAACTGCTGGATATATTTTTAAAGACACCGATTGCGATTTCTGCAGATAAATTATGAAAATTATAATTAAGTAAAGTAGTGCAAAGGCAGGAATCAAATCAGTCTGCTGTGAAATACAAGCTGAAAACTAAAAACCACCAACACACACGTACGCACGCACACACACGCGCGAATTTGGCCGAGTTTGACTCACACACACACACACACACCAACACGCAAAGTCAAAGAAAAAAGCACTAAATAAATACAAAAGGCAACGGCAAAAAGGAGTCTGTTTGTTCCTTCTGCTGCTGCAACGTGTGGTACGTATGTGTGTGTGTGTGAGTGTGTGTAATGGAGGGTGTAAGCATGTGTGGGTGAGCGAATTTCGTAGACGCGTCTGTGTGTGTATATTCGCTTATTTGCTTGTGGTAGGCACTCTGCTTCGTCTTCGTGCGCTTCATCGTCTTGGCAGCTGCTCCTCCCGCCCCCTGACACTCCCCCTTTAGCGCCCACTGTACGCCCTTTGCTTTGTTTAATTTTCAAGCAAATTGTTGGGGCGGCCTCGTTGATTAGCCCCAAGGAGGAGGCGGCCTAGCCCGCATATGCTTTTAATTGCCAAAAACGTGCCCAGCCACACATCAACAGGGCGTCAGAGCGGGACAGCGCCAGAAGGAGCGACAGAGAGGGAGAGAGAGAGCGGGAGGGGGGCACAGGCTGCTGCTACTGCTCCTGCTGGCGCCCTGCTCCGCTCTTGATGATGACAGCGGCCACGAGGTTAATGGCTTAAAGTCTTAGCCGATTCCAGCCCTGCACATGAATATTTGAATGGCAGTTGACTATGAAATCTGCCACTCGTCTCCGTTAAAAGCACAGAAAGAAACTAGGGCTTCTTTAAGTAAAGGATTCGCGAATTTCTCTTTGTTAAATTTTAATTAAAAGATATCGAAATAAGTTTACCAACTGGATATATATAGTTTTCAAACATAAATTTCGATGATTTATAACAGGACTTTTAAATAATAGTAATATACTAACGAAAAACAACATTTAATAATTCAATAAGAGATAGAAAAGATGTGCTATACAAAAATGTTAAAATAAAAAGAACTTAAAACTCCTACTAAAATATATAATTTTTCGTGACGTGAACGTTCTGCTCAATATATTGTCAGTTTTATGAATAGTAGAGCGCAGTTTTGGGAGCACTCAAGGATCCATAATTTCCATTCCTGATGAAAGCTAAAATTTTACATTTATTAAGCAGTTGGGGTTAACGAACTGTAGAGTTTTATTGGCGGATACCTAATCAGTTTTTGGTGAAGTATTTGCAAGAGGAAAGGGTCGGATTGGCCATGAAAACATGGCCTGTAAAATCGGATTAAGTAATTAGAAAGTTGCCAGCGCATTAAGTATGCAAGTTCAAGTTAGGGACTGCATATTTAAAAGCCCTGTTGTGGGCCATCAAATATGTAGCAGAGGAAAAAGAGGCAGCGGCAGCGGCCAAAACTCATTAATAACTGTCGTCGTTTCGCATACAAAATGAAAGTATTTATGCAAGCCAAACAAAAGCGGTTTTTGAAAAACATCGAGGGGGCACGGCATAAATTTCAAGTGAAATGTGAAATGTCGAATGTGAGCGCTGCACACACGCAACTCTTGCCATTTTAATTAATGTCAAACTCTTATCATTGAATATAAAATATGCACACACACAGGGGAGATGGGGAAGCGAAAGCGGCTCACATGTGCATATGGAATTTACATACCAGCTCGCTTTTCTTTGTCAAGTTGAACAGGCTGAAGGAAACAATGCTCGGTCCCGTCCCCCTTCGTTGCCTTGACAAATCCTTTCTTTTTTCTCGGCTTGCCGCAAAAAGCAATCAAAGCAAAGGCACAAGAAAATTCCCCAGGAAAACGCATGCTTACCAATTAACGAGATATGTGCGAATGTGCAAGAAAGCGCGAGAAATTTAGCAAGAGGACAAAAACCCCAAAGAGAGAAACCACAAAAAGTGGCATACAAATCAAATGTGCTTAAAGAAAAACACATGCGAAAAAATTTATAAAAACAAAAACCAATACAAAGGCAGGCCAACACACACACACACATACACACTCATACACAAATAGGCACACAGCTAGATGATAGACAAGGGTAAGGAGGCTTAAGAGGTGGAGGGGGAAAATGGTCGACTTTGGAGCCAAGTAGCAAGCGTTTATGCTAAACAGAGTGTAACTGCCGGGGTGGCCAAAGCTGAGAGTGCACGGTGACATTTCTGCAAAAAGCCAGAAAGGATAACAACAAGGCAACACCAGAGCACACAAAAGGTGCCAGTCGACACGCACACAGACACACGGGCACATTAGGACCTGAGAGAGCGAGAAAGAGAGAATCTGGCTTTGCAGAAAGTGTAGCACACTTTCTCGCGCTCAGGCTCGTGCTATTTTTGGCCAACTCTCTCGCTGTTTCGCTCTCCCTCTCTCTTTCTCTGGCTTTTTCGTCCTGCAAAACCTTTTCGGCTCCTAGCTGGCCAACTGACTGCTAGCCAACTGGCTGTCCTGCCAAACGGTTTTCAAACGCTCAGCTGAGAATATGTAACGGACGAACGCGGCTGGCAAAACTCACAGACGGTACAAGAGAACCAGAAAAAGGGACTCCACAAGAAACGGCAACTCGACAAAATCTATAGAAAAGTGTCTGCCTCAAATGTGTGTGTGTGTGTATGCTTCTGAGTGAATATTTGTGTATGCGTGTATAAATTAGTTTGAGTGTATGAGTGCGAGGATGTTCTTTAGCAATAGCGTGAAATTTTCAAATAAAACGCGACGCGCCCTGATTCCTGTATTTTGCACATAGCTACAAGAAAAATTTAAGTAATATTATCTCAAATTAAAACTGTGAAAAAAAACCACAATTATTGAAAACCACATTGGCAAAAAATAATACTAAACAAAAATGTGCAACAAAAACTAGATAAAAAAAGACTTATATATGTGCAAATGTTTATAATAAATAGTAATCACAAAATAGAATATAAATCAGTTAAACAAAAATGTTCTTAGCCTGGAAAAAATTCGTACAACACAAAATAAGATATTAATAACCAAATTAAACAAAATATTTTAAAGCAATCAATTTAATTTAATTTATTTTCCTTTTCTTAAGTGAATGAACTAAGATAAGACTTTCGAATCTAGCAAATATGTCCCATAGTTTCCCGAGAAGCGTAGTTATTGCTGTAACCACTTAACAAACAATGCCCAAAGTTAAGGCGAAACGAAGCTCTAGCAATCGAAACCAATAAAATGAGCCCCGTCGCCTGCAACACCAACATCAACATCGGTCACATCGAGAAGGTTGCAGGCACTCTAAGGACAATTACAGCTGAAGCAACATCAACCCAAATCGGAACAGCCACAACGATATTGAACGAGCGATGAGATGGAGCGTCCGATGGGATGACGAACTCAGAAACTCAGTAAGGGAGCTGCAACTGAAACTGAAACTGAAACTGATACTGAAACCACAGCGGAACTCGAAGTCTGCGGCGACGAAAATAGAAAATCTGTGAAATCCAACCAAAAAACGGCAGAGGCAGCCATGAACAGTGCGGATATTTTGTAATTATTAATGAGCGCATAGAGCGGGCAGAGTGAGCGGGGTGAAGCAGCGCCGAACCGAGCGATACGTAGCGGGATATCACGATGTACACTCTGCTGGAGCTCGACTAACACACTGACACACACTCACCCCAGCCCAGGACCCACAATCCCGACAGATTCCCCACAGGACGACAGGACGAAAGGACGACGGCAGGCAGGAAAGGCAACGAAAGGCTCAATTTCAAGGAATTTGCAAAGCGCTCGCACACATACACACAGGAAACACACACACACACCATCACATGAGCGGGCATCTCTCCCGTCAGGATAGAAGTAATTAAAAGTAAATAAAGGAGGCAAGAGAAAACCGAAAAAAAGTCCCTAAGAGCGTGGTGCTGGAAAGGCAGGAAGTAACCTGATTACGGGCAGCACAGCAGCAGCAATTAATGCCGCAGGAGGGTGGAAGCAGAAGCAGCAGCAGCAGCAGCAGCAGCAAAACCAGAAGCAGAGGAAGCGCATCAGGATCTGCCACTGGCCTGAGCTCGACTCGATCTCCCATCAGGACGCGGACCGAGGATTGGAGAAAGGAACGGAGGAGAACGGAGTCTCAAAGGGGAACCACTCTCTAAGCACACCCACTCAACCATACACTTGCACTGAAGTACTGACTGAATGCCTCGCTGCCTAAACAACCAACTAACTCACTGACTGAGAGACTTCAACAAGCGGAGAAGTACGGAGAAAGCCCTGACTAGAAGCGCAAGTAGCCGAGCGAACCGGGGGAACCAGCTAGCAACTAAACTAAAGGAGCAACCTTGACTAATAACTGCAACAACAAGAACAACAACAAAACAACTACAACTTACTTTATACGCAACTAAATTAAAACAAAAAACAAACAAAAGCAAAAAGGAAACAAGAAACTAAAAACAAAAAACAAAAAACAATTAACCAAACAACCAAAAAACGAAAACTTCAATTTTTAATGCAAAACTACGAAAAAAGCCACGACAGCCATTTTAAATAAGCAACTCTCGCACCCTCCCGAAATTTGAACTTCCAACACCCGTAACCAACCAGCACACAAAAACACACATAGCACCACCATGAGTGATTCAAGAATGGACAAGTTGGCCCGGATGGCGCCCCTGCCCCGCACACCGCTGCTGACCATCTGGCTGGCCATCAACATGGCCCTGATTGCCCAGGAAACGGGCCACAAACGGATCCACACAGTGCAAGCGGCGTAAGTATCATTCAGTCTGTAATTATGCGAAATCATCGCTGGTCGAGGGGGAGTGTACCATATTCAATGCCATTTACTCAATTAGTGACATTTACAACTATCAATTAGGCTAATAACATCATAGAGGGCCGAGCTCGCCGCTAATTCGCATTAAATTATGGCCAAATAATGGTTAGCATGGCCGCAATGGCACCTCCCCTTTCGGAATAAAGAAAAACTATAGTTTGGGGCGGTTTGGGCAGTTATAATAACAATAAATTTGTTTTCGGGCCTGACACTTTGCTGCAGTGACCAGCCCCCAAGGCGCCAGGTGCGTGCTATACGAGTGTTTTTTGTTTTGTGGCGCCCAACGTGGGTCCCATAATTCATGGTAATTTATGATTATTCAAATCATTTTGCTGCAAAATGCGCTCAAAACTTTTCGTCCCAGTAGCGCTAATTAGGCAGAATGACAGCCTGCTTGACCTGGCAGTGAATAAATGCTCAGCTGTCCGACAGTTTGACTAAGTGCAGGCCATTTATTAGGCCACCCGCCGGAATCGGAGTGACCGTATCTACATCGTCATTGTCACATTTGCATGTGGCAGTCATTAAAATGGCAGGCAGCGACTGAAAAATGACAACTGCCACTCGATGGTCTTGTAATTACTCACCCGCCAACGTTCAACGGGGCGATGTTTATGTTTGTTTTTGGAAATCCTTGTGCAAGGATTCGGACCCAGCCATATAGACTCCCCCTTCTGCCACGTTAACTGACAGTTGTCAGCTGTCAGCGCGACAGCCGCTGAACCAATACACCCACTGTTACCCTCTCTGGGGAGACCCACGGGGTCCACCGCAACCGCATACAACACATTCGGACAACGCAAAGAAATTGCCACAATTGTGGCATTAGTTGTCAGCTACTGTGGCGTTCTGTCAACTTAATCACACAAATTATGCAAAGCCAGAGCTCTGGTTGGCACTGCCTTCCCTATTTTTTTTTTTGCCCCCTACTTTTGTTTTTCGTTTTTACCTTTTTGGGTTAGCGCTCATTAGTAAATATTTAGGCGCTACACAGAGCCACAAACATTTGCATAACATGGCAACCTGGCAAATTAGGCAAATCAAATGGGGGACTACGAGACTCCGCCGAATCTGAATCCAGGTCCGGATCCAAATCCGAATGCGACAACGACTACGAACGAGTACGAACGACATCGAGCGACTCGAGTACAAATGCACGTTTATGGGATTACACGATCGCGTGCCGAGCACACGGACGAGGACACGGAGATACACGCGACGTGGCATGATGTGGCTTATACGTGTAGTATAGCGTAACAAGAAGTCCAAATCGAAAATGTCGTGGCGTTAAGAGGGACGGCTAAAGTCAAGCGACTCCAAGGCGCACACAGGCACCGTTGTGCTGTTTATTTGGGCCAAAGAGGCAAAGGCAATGGCAAAGGCAACGGCAACGGCAACGGCAATGGCAAAGGCACATCCAGCGGAGCAAAGTTTACGCTACTTTTTCATGCAACATTGCACAGGCGCCGCCACAAAGTATGCAACACAAAATGACAGCCTTGCCGAGTCAAAGTCCCAGGCCCTCCTAGCCCCAATCCCATTCCCTATCCCAGCAAAAGGTTAAAGGCCAGAGCGACACAGTTTGCTCTTCCTGTGCGGCATGGGCATGGGCTTGAGCTGCTGCTGCTGGACCCGCCCCCTGCCTCCTGCGTCCTGCCTCCTGCTGGGCGTCCCGTTGTGCTCCACTTGCCACACAAGTGCCCACTTCACTGGGAATTTATTGATAGCAGATAATGCCAAAGTGGCAGCGACAAAAGCAAAGACCACCCGGGCTCGATGCCTGACTGCCTGGCTGCCTGCCCCACTATTTGAGTTTCAGTTAGCCTGACTCTGTGTAGCAGCTGCATCACTCGGGGGCAGCCACCAGGCAGCCAGGCAGCCAGCAGGCAGCAGCAGCAGCGTCAACAGCTCGCCGTCGAGTGTCATTGAGCGTAAATTGTTGTTCCTTCACATTTTGAGTATGATTGAAAATATCTTCAAGCGGCAGGCAGGCTGGCTAGCTGCCTCCTATGTATGTCTGTGTGCGGCGAGCTTGTGTTTTGCCAATCGCCATTCCACTTCTGCCTCCATCTGCTTTTCAAATATTTAATAAAGCCCCGACAAGGCAGGTCTAATTTTTTTCACATTTGCCCCGGCAAATACAATTCGAGCGGGCAACTATTTTTATTGGCCCGCCTGGAGGCGAGAGATATCCGCGCCTTAGCCATCGCCATCGCCGTTGCCATCGCCATCGCCATCGGTTGCCAGCCTGCTGTTCATTTTGCAAAATGTCAAGGACTCGCCAATGCAATTCAATTTTTTATGCATTTACCTCACCTCGTCCGCTCAGCTGGTGCATAAGTTCAAATTTGGTATGGGGACTGAGTTTAATTTAATCAAAAGGCCAAACGATCTTTCAGAGCAGCCAGCGTGCAAATTCCAAGAATAAAGGAATAGAAAAACGGTATCTATTATATTTGCATCGAAGCTGAATAAAAACCTTTGGTTCAAGAGTGTCAACTTGGGTATTCCCTGCTGGTTTGTTGACAATCAAATATAAATGGAAATTTATTGGATAAAAAACATGTTTAAATTTAATCTTTGGTAAGTTATGCACATAGCTTCATAGCTTTTATAGTAAATAATGCCTTCTGCGATTTAAAAATATTACAGAATCGCTATGGCATTTTAATGAAAATATGTAGAGCTTTAGCTTTCAAAAGCCAAGAGGTTTCTAAATTCCTGAAATTCCTGAAATTCCTGAAAGTTAAATATAAGTGCAACAGCTGGCAAAAAGCTAAGCAAAATTCTTTGCTTTGCATTTCAGTCGTTTAGAGAACAACCAAAACTTGTTTCTATAAAATGATTGAAATATATGAATATGAAAACGTTAAGTCAACTTTCTGAAACTTAAATGATTAATTTAAGTCAGGTCATTTTTTCTCAGGCTTTTCTGCAATGCGGCAGAATACCCCAAAAGCTCTATTAATTATTGTATATAAAACCCCCAGATTTTTCTTTTTTGTTGAGCAAGCCTGAAAAATATATTGAGGTAACTTCCAGTAGAAAAAATACTCGGGAAGCTCTAATGTTTTTTTAAAAATTGTTAACATTTTAAGTTTTAGGATTGATAAATTTTCAGTAGCTACTCCTTACAAAATTCCGTAAATTGACATACGTGTCACTGTAAAATATATAATGATTCATCACAGTTTTTAGTTGTTCTATTAGACACAGAAAAGAGTGGCGAACCAATAGCAGGATTCGCTACACCCCGGAATGAAAGTAGTACTAAGCAACAGCGAAGAGGAACAGAGATACTGAGATACCTAAGTATATGATCATAGCATATAAAATATATGGGCCAATCCCAACCTACGAGCCATTGTGGGGATACTTTAGCTATTCCCAGTGTGTCTGAAATTGGCTTTAACAAGTCCATAAACTGGGGCGTGGCCCAACTCGCCCCAGTGCTGTGCTAGCTCATAATAGTTAATGTTTCCATGTCCGAGCGGCTTTCCTGTGTGTCCCGGGAACTGGCTGCTCATTTTCAGCTGACTGCTGGCTGCTGGCTTATTAAGCGGATGTGTTTATTTTTAGCGACTGTCAGGCGGCTGTCAGGCTTCAAGTTATCACTTTATTAAAAAACGCTTACTCACACTCGCCCCAGAGAAGGGAAGCCAGAATCTAGAGGCTGGAGGCTGGGCGACCCACAGACATTTAGCCGAGTGCTTTATTGCGCAGCAGAAAGGCCTAAACCAACTTTTGCTTATCTCGACGTAGGCGTTTGCCTCAGTCCCTGCAGCTGTCAAGACGAATATCCTGGGTGGGAAATAGGAACACAGAGAAAACGGAGACGGCGGAGAAACGGAGACGAAGACAATGACAAAGACTGCGAAATCGCTAAAAGAAAGATAATATTTGCTAGTAGTTTTCGCATTTCCGCTTTGTTTTAACGTTTCACTTGAAATTTATGCAATGGCGCGTGTCCAACGCAGCGTATACGTAATAGCTGGCACTCAAAGTGCCACTAAAAACGACAGCGACAGCGAGAACGACAACAAACAATAACGACAATATTTTCCACAGCTTTCCTCACACACATACACACTGTCACGCTGACCAGCCACACCCACCCAAACACACACACACACACACTCACACATCTATACATATATAGCAAACGTGCAGTGCCTCAAGATAAGGCAACAAACTGTGGCCAGCGATAAGATGGCGTGGCACTTGAGGCGACACGTTTTGGGCTTGGCTGTCGTGCGCATGACTTTGCATTTTGGTTTTGTTACAGTTACGGTTCTGGTCCTGTTTATGGCACTGTTTCTGTTTCTGGTCCTGTTCCTGTTCCTTCAGCTGCCCCAGCTGCTTCCCCCAGTTGTTGCTCCTTTAGTGCTGTTTTCGTTACCCAAGTCACTCTGCCATCCTAAAAGCTGGTTGGAAAAAACTCAAATTGTTACCCACTTACATGCAAGGGGCTAATTGCACGCTGCACAAATGTGCACTTACACAATGGAAATACATCGACAATTGGGTAATTTTCCTAACATTAATATTTTAAAACTCGGAATGTCTGTTGTTTTTCTATGTTGGTTTAAGTAAAGTCAATAAAAAAAAAAAACATTTACAAACGACATTGGGAGTACCACAAAAACTAATTGAATTTTAAATATGTCTTACGGCATTGGACTAAAAGAGTGATTACAAAACCGTTTTGAAATTATAATAACAAAAAGGTATAACGATTTGGTTATATTTTTACATTATTTTTTAACAATAAAATATTTACTGGTTTGAACCATAAAAGGTTTATATAAAAGGCTAGTGAATAGAAATGGTTTGAGATTGTTTTGTATGACATTGAATCAACATTTTTGTAAAGAATAAGAATAAATATAGTTCTTCAATCATGAAGTTTATCTTCCTGTGTAGTCGAAAGTGCGGCAGCACTTCTGGAAACTGCAAACTTAAGACGGGGTTCTTCTCGTATTTTTGTGCTCTTTAGTTGCCCTCCATCAATAGGCAAATATTTGACGCCTCAAGTACGACCTATTGACATTTTCTAGTGCACTTAACGACAAGCACGCCTCATACACAAACCCACACATACATGCTCACCAACTGGGGCTGCATAAATTATTTGACAATACGTCGGGCATAATATTAGTTTCACTTAGCCATGGCAGGAGCACATTTGCATATTACGTATACGCCACGTTCCGCCTTGGGAGCGGCAAAAGCGAAGCAATCGGAAAGTTTTTGGCGCGTCCTTCAAGTAATTTTTATTGCAGGCTGTCAAAAACTTATTGACAGCACCTGCCAGCAAAAGTAGCAGCAGTGCATAAATTAAACTTTAATGGCTAGCGCGGCTAATGGCGCAAAGTGTTGGATGCCAGTAACCGTAACCCGTACCAATGAACATTGCGCATACGCAGCATTGTACTCGCACCCCCACACGCACACACACACCCAATCCCAATCAAAAACTCAAATCAAATAGCAATCAAAACTTTTTCATTATCAACATCAGACAAGAGGCCCGAAAAATAAAACCGCATAGAAATGGGAGTACGAATGTGGGTGCGGGTGCGGGTGCGGGTATTTTCATACATATTTATAAATAGGCTGCCTTTTTTGCCGTCGGCTTTCGCTTTGATGCCCACGCTGCGTATACACAATGGCCCGCCATCGACTTGGGTTAAAGCTCAAGCGAACCCAGAGAGGAAAACCGGGGAAAAGGACAAGAGAATCGGGGAGAGCAGCGAATGTGAGAGAATGTGGGCCATGGCACGCCCCGGCTTGATTACAAAAATTATGGGCGACTTTTGTGTGCTGCAAAATTAAAATCGCATCAAATCAGCAAATCAGCCACAACAATTGACTTGTGAATGTGCAAATTGGGCAAAATACTCGCACATAAATAGATTGCCATATATATTATATATTTTGCCGACACAAATGAAAGGCAAACAGGATAAGTGAATGCCAAAAGAGACACTGAGCTCCGGAAAACGCGCAAGCGCACATCGAGAGACAAAGTCTGTTCTGTTCTGTTTATTTGCAGGCGCAACTTTTATTAAATTGTGATTTTGCTCACCAGCACGCACACACATCGCACATTGCTCTGGGGACCCCCGGGTCCTGAGACCTGAGACCTGTGTCCTTAGTTCTGAGTCCTGAGTCCTGAGACCCGATAGCTGTGTATCCAACGGCTTTCGCAGAGTTGGAATAACAACAAACGCGCTTTAATAGCACAGTTTAGCGTAGAATAGACGCAAATAAACAGGCATTGAAGTGCCTGGCGACTGGCAACTGGCAAACTGGCAAACTGTGCCTTCATTGCCAGGCACATGCAATAAATATTACATACAAACGCTGGTGCTGGGGGCGCACTTGATGCCGCATAAAGCGAAAGTGGCACACCCACACACAGTGCCACATAAACACTTAACCTGCAACGACCGCCGAGCGCAATGTCTGTGTCGACTGTCAGTGGCTTTTCCAGGAAATGCTGAATGTACCATATGGAAATGATGCACAGCAACAAATGCCCTGAATAAACAGCCACGCGCATTCGAGGCAATCGAACTAACATAGATCAGTTTTTTCACTTCTCCCTTAAATAAGAGGTTCGACCAAACTTAAAAGGACTGAAAAACTCAACCATACTATTTAGGAGTGTTGTCTTACTTAACTTTTACAAAAACTGTGTATTACTTCCTCGAAGTCAGGACTAAATGATTAAGTGAAATCAACCAAACTTAAAGGTGAAAATAATACTTAACAAATAATTTTTTTTTAATTTATAAATTTATTTAATAATAATCCCAATATCCAAGGTCTGCTGTATTAGAATATTTTGATATCTAATCTGGATATATGATGTTGGGCATTTAATTTACGCTTTTTAAGAATTATGTAACCCAATTAATAAAACAAAATGTTGACTTTTTTTGCAGAACTGGCGGTGGCAGCATGCTGGGTGACGTAAACATATCCGCTATACTCGACTCCTTTAGTGTTAGTTACGACAAAAGAGTAAGACCCAATTATGGTGGTAAGTAGACCAATCTGCGGACACCCCCTCTATCTAGCTACACTTACCCAGCTAAAAATCAAACCCAAAACGCAACGCGACTTGAACGAAACGCAAATGGGGGCACAGCCTGGTAAAAAAATATATATTCAATATATAGGGTGGTCGAGGCGCAGTGGGATCCGAGAATTACAACACTAGACTAACTCTTTATACCCTACCGTACATAGCTATGTAACACCTACTATAACATACGTGTTTGCAGGACCTCCTGTCGAAGTCGGAGTCACCATGTATGTGCTATCGATCAGCTCGCTCTCAGAAGTGAAAATGGTACAAACTAATTGAACTTTGTACCTTTCTATTATCGTTAAGCGCTCTCTCGCATTCTATATTTACTTATCTATCTACTCCTAACTCTATCTCTCTGTCTTTGGTCTTTGTTGTTGGAGTTTTCTTTCGAGTTTTCATTTCTTTTTGTAAACACTAAACGCATTAGTTTGTTGCTCTCTCACACTCACACACACACACAAGTCTTGATTTCCTGATTTCCGTGGTACTACCAACTGTTTCAACTGTTTTGCTTTGTATGAACTCTCTCTCTCCGAACACTTTCTTCCATAGATAGAACGATCTATTATTTCTAACCGTTGACCAAAGTACACCAGTTGAAAGCGTTATTTGCGAATCTTATCCACACCCGTTCGTATTGTGTTTCCTTCTGTTTACAAGTAAATGGTATTATTTTCTTATCAGTTACCCTTTTGGTACTAAATCTCTCCAAACTCTAACTCTTCCGAATGTTTAGTTTGTTTTATAGCCGCTGTGTTTTAGTGTTTTCCTCCAACAATTTCGCATTCATTTCATGAAATGAATACGTTAGCAAAGGTCTGTGCTAGGAGCTGACGAGCCATACGAACCCAGAAGCCAGAATTTGTAGGGTCAAATGTGTTTTAGTACTTGCCACGATATTTTTCTCACATCGTCAACACATTGTAAACTAAATGTCAACTCTCAAACCCATCAAAAACCAACGATTGGCAAAAGCTTTTTATGTTCCTTAAGCTCTACAAAATGACTTCCTTCTGTGCTCACCGTTACTTTTACCTCTGTGTGTGTTTGTGTATGTCTAATTGGCCAGCACATCGAAATTACCCGAAAATAAACCAACACACACACACAAACAACAGCCACAGTAACAAACAATCCATCAACATTTCAACCCTTCCGGATCTTAAACCCCTCACATTCCAAGCGAAACTCTTGCCTCTCACTTCATGCGTATTGTTTTGTCTTCTTCTTTTTTGTAGGCCCACTTAACTCATACCAAGCTTCAAGAAAAAATTTCATAAGCTAACTGCTGCCAAATCGCAATACCCACACAATAAAATCTCTTTCCAAATAAGCAATGCAAATGAAAAAATGGTGTGTGAATCCGCTATTCAAAGCAAAATAATCTACTAGTTTACAAAACTATTTATTTAATAGGCGACCTTGTTTTTGAAATACCATATTTTTTAAAGCAACTGCTATTCTTTCGTGTAGCTGAAAATACATACAAAAAATACAACATTAATGTGAACCTTAAGTAGTCAACTGATTTGGTTTTCATTCGGAGCGTGCAATAAACAGAAGCAAAAGCATCAAACACAAATTTAGTAAGCCACCAACAAAAATATAGACAGCCAAAAAATACAACAGCAATGCAATGCACATCGCTTGCCAATTTAAGTGTTAACCGTAACTTATATATTTAATTTTGCTAATGGAAATTAAACAGCACCCGACGAGCCCAAGGAAAGGCGCCCGAAAGTAGGCAGCGAAAAACGAAAAAATATGTCAACGTACTGCGTCCATTGTTTCTCGTACCGCTGTGTGTGTGTTTCAGTTCTCATATTTTGGGTTTTAGCCACATCTGACATGAATAACAACAATAACTACAGAATAACCATACCAAACGCAAAATGAAAATTCCATCAATCCGTGTGTGTGTATATGTTGCAGGTCCCCCTGTGGAGGTTGGCGTCACAATGTATGTCCTCAGTATCAGTTCGGTTTCGGAAGTTCTCATGGTACATACGTAAAAATATATGCCAAAAATAATAAACAAAAAAAACCAAAATATACAATTTACCACAGATACAAAACAAATGTTCCGTTTTTTTTTTGGTAAAAGCAAACAAAAAAAATTCATAAATCTACTCGTATACTTCTTAATTTCTCTCAGTCTCTACCTCTTACCTGTAACTATCTCTCGCTCTCTCTCTCTATAAATATCTCTGTCTCTTTTACTATATGTTTCTCTCTCTCTATGTCTGTCTCTGTTGCTTAAATCTCATTTTGTGTCTTAGCATTTGTTAACCTTTTTAATTTCGCTAATTGGCAACAGACATACAAATTCATTACAATTACTTTGATTCACTTAAGATTGTGTTTGTTTCGACCATTCAAAGCCAACTGCAAACCAATATCTATATACATATACCAATATAAATATACAAATTTCTGCCAATTAAATGTTGTGTGAAACGAATCGTTATTGCAATGCAATTGCCAACTATGAAATTCCAATGTTACATATTCGTTTTGTGTTTATTGTTTCAGTGTTAGCCAATAGGCCATGATGTTCGCAAATTGTTTGTTGTTCCATTTCAAAGCTTCTCGGCCAGAACAATGCAAACCGTAATATACGTACTTACATTGAGATTACCCCAAATTTTACACACTTTGGTGCTACACTTTCAGCCCAGTCCAAATGCTGCTCTCTCTTTCGCTCACACTCTCGCTATCTCTATCTATTTCTCAACTTTGACGCTTTGAAAATCCATTTCAATTTGTTCAGCTTCAGTTTGCTGTCTTTTGCGTTCTTTTGTCTCCATCGGAATTTTCATGGAAAGCAGTAACTGCGATAAAGTCAATCAATCTAATTGCTGTATAAATCTTTATTTATCGCCCCATCGAGTACATGGCCGAAGTTCATCCATTCCACGCCCACATACACACTGACACTATGATGGGACCTACCCCGCCCCTACAGAGAAACGAGAGATATTTATTCCATACTCATGTATCCACCATATTCCAATACTCCCTTATAACCGTCATTCTGTTTGTTGTGATCTGGTCAAATGCATAATAATAAAATCAAATTAATCAAAGCGGCCCCATTGACAATGGCTGCGCGCATGCGTATTTGTTAACAAGATGAATATGAATGAATATCATAATCCACACACCATATATAGCATATAATCAAGCTCGGTGTCGATGTGTTCATCAAACGATATATGGACTTAGCCTATTTGTACAAGGGACTACTCGTTTATGCCTGTTTCTGTGTTATCGTTTTCCTTGATTTTGCTCTTTTCGCGACGAAATCCAAAAAGCCTCTATCTCTTTATTAATTCATTATTATTATACTGTACAACTTGTTCTATAAAATAATATTGGATTATCGATTATTTTCTTAAAATGACTATAAAATTATCCATAGTCTGTACGTCGCACGTTCTTATTGGTTCATTAATTGAAATATTTTTTAAGAGCTTTTAAAAAAAAAATTAATACAATACAAGTCTCTGGGTTAGATTCACATAAATTATCAAATCGTAGGGGTAGGAAACTCATATTTATTATTAAATCTTTGTTGTTTTCTCTCGAGTTCTACATTTTTATTGTCAGAATTTAACTTAACTCTACCATCATTATGTGTGACAAAAAGAGAGCATCTGACAGATGGAAGATTGGCGCACACGAAAATTTCCAAATACTCAAAACAATTCGTTGAAAAAGTCGCTGAATTGCACTTAAAAGGACCTCACTTACTCACCGAAACACACAGAATTTAATGCACTTTTGTTGCATACACAAAAAAACACACTCTCACTGTTTTAACTTAAGGAAATGTTCGTATGACATAAAGCAACCAACACAAACGCACCGTTTGGCTTTGGCAATCAATTTATGCGAAAATAACATGCCCAACACGAACGTAAACACGAACATACTGCCGTTTACAATCCAGCAAAGAAAACACGTTAACAAGGATAACAGCAAAAAACAACAACCACACTTGTTCACTTTCAGCCCGATCATTTCTTACATGACAATTTTTCATTTCCACATATTGTGACCCGGTAACAAAACAGAATTGCTACGCTGCTAATGAAAATAATTCAAAAATAAACTGAGCCAATGCCAAACCGAAACAAGAACAACAACACGCGTACACACACATAGACACGTTTACAGATATCTATGCAAATACACTGAGAAAAATCTTCTGAAGGAAACCTCTTTTTTGTTATATAACTTTCGTCTTTTTTTCATGATTAATTAATGTTTTCTTGAATTATGCAAAAGAATGATTAATCTGAAATTTAAGTCCGCCCTTGAAACGTCAATTTAAAACAGTAACAGTAGAAAATTTTTTAATTTTTAAATTGCTTTTATTCCAAATTCAATAAAGTAACTTAATTACCATTTAGAGGTTAAACTTAAGAATAATATCTGTTAGCAAGAACTTTTGTCCCTAAATTTTTTTGTCTGTATAAACAGTGACAAATTTACATAAGACAACCCGTCCAATCCAATCCAAATTCAGGCGAGCAGCGAGGCAGTTAAAATCAACATGACATGAGGTTACTACCGAAAAACAACGAATAAAAACATAGTATCAAGGAGTAAATAAACACACATCACACACATATCTATATGTAAATTGTAAATGGTATACTATAAAGAGATGTATAAAAATATAACAAAAAACTCGATAGACCCGCACACGTTCGGGGTTATTTGTGAACCATCTAAAAATACCGCCATGCACATAAGTATTTGTATTTAGAGTTCATTTTGTGTGTATGCCAAGAACATAAAAGTACAAAAATCCAGGTTGACCCAAAGAACCCTTTTTGCAATGAAAAAACCCCACCAACCCAAAGCAGAGTTATGGAAATTGCATAATCCACACGAAATTTCATTTGCGTTTTCGATTACGCTTGAGTTTTGATTCGTTTTTAAGTTCAATTTGTGTTTGAGTTTTTGTTTTGGGCGTGCCAGAAACCGAGTGGAAACCAAATCTACCAGAAAAAAGCAAAGAGAAGATTGCAGGCAACCCACGAGAACCGTGTGCAATTTTCGCATCGTAAATAAAACACATAGTCATATAGAAAATACGTATACGCCATGTAGACACATACCAGCTAGCACCACTCGGCGTGCGTTAAAGTACTGGCAAAGTACCCAAAAAGCAAGCAGTGTGCGGCCTATAAATATTTATAACTACTTACAAATGTTATTACCTGCTACTACTACAACTACAACTACTATTATTATTACATTTGCATTTGCATTTACCTTTAACATTTACATTTACATTTACATGCTTTTCCGTTTAATTTTTGGTTCCTTGTCGGCCACGTGACGCGCTTGAAGATAATGATATGCAAGACTGAGAGAAACAACTCGAGTATTTGTCCTTATATCCGACCCACCCAAAAACAATTCCCAAACACACACACACAGCCACAAGTGCAAACACACAGATACAAGCAAAGCAAACACAGCCAAATTGTTTGTCGTTTTACAGTCCAATCCAGTCCAATCCCCCAATCGACTCCGATTCTAAACATTCAAATCGTAGCCGAATACGCTTAGCTTCGAGGCACAAGCAGAACAGCTGAAACAAAAGCGCCAAGCCAAAAAGCCAAAAAGCCAACGATACCGTATACTGTATAAATCGTACAAATAACAACCTGCCAGCCTGTTGCCATAGATGCCATAGTAGTCTAGTCTAATAACCCCTGTTAGTAGCCAGAAAAGCCAAGCTACTTCACAATCACAGCAACGAATCCATACGAATATTTGTGAGAGGTTTCCGTACTACTTTAATGCTTACCCGATCCCAAGACCCCGCTTCTGCTGATGTAAATACGCTTAGTAACTTAATTTAATTCAGTTATTTTTCTGTTCCTCTGAAGATCTCATTACCCCCCTCCGAAAACGCTGTAAAAAGTATCAATTCGGTGTTTTTGCATGTTGTCTTAAGACCCCCTCCCCCCCGTTATGCCCCATCTTCCTGTATAAATTGATAAAATAAATTGTTGCACGTTATAAATTTTCCTTGGTTTAAATTTGCCGCAAGTTCCTTTCTTTGTGTGTTTGTTAAGTGTATCTGTTGTGCCCAAAAAGAACTTTCCGCCTAGTTTTCACGAATTCTCTCTATCGATTTCTCTATGAATTTTTTTAGTTGATCGAAATAAATTTTTAAACACACAAAACTTTTAGTTCCTAGTCGTTTAGTTAACTAGATCCGTAAGTTCTCACTGCCGATGTTTACTAATATGAATAACCTCTCAATCTCTTTTTGCTACCTTTTCCCTTTTACCAAAAAACCGAATCGAATCGAATTGAATCGAATTGTGAATTGAATAGGACTTCACATTGGATTTTTACTTTCGTCAATTTTGGACCGATCCTCGTTTAGCGTATAGAAAACGACCTGGTGTAGAAACACTATCGGTTGGATCAGAGTTCATTAAGAATATTTGGGTACCTGACACCTTTTTTGTAAATGAAAAACAATCATATTTTCACATTGCAACAACCAGTAATGAATTCATACGTGTGCATCATTCTGGATCGATAACAAGAAGTATTAGGTAAAAACCAACTCAACTACTGCAACTCCCAACTCCACGCTCTCAATGAAAGCGAACATTAACATTTTTAATTGTCTGTATATGTGTATGTGTATTTAACTATTTTACAACTAACCCTACAACTAAAATAAACCCAACAAAACCAACCTAAAACCAAAAAACTACAACAACTACAAAATACTTTAAACATTCTACTCTATCGTTAAAATTATCGTTTTGGCCCTTTTTGCAACTTACATTTTTTTTCTGTGTGTGTATAAATCGATGTTGTAATTTACTAAATCTAATTGAAAATGGAAAATTTCTACAGAACGAAAAACAGTTTTCTTCCAAGCGATTAAAACTAATCAAGTGAGTTCAATTGGCAAGTGAAAGTGAAAGAAAGTTGGCAAATTTCGAGCGATGCAGCTTCTTCTGAAGATTTGTGAATTTCATGAAAGTCATCGGTTAGAGGTGCAAACTGTGCGATTGTACAATCGATGCTATTGATTATTCGACTATCAGGCTAAATTCGGTTTGAAATTGTTTTTTACGTTTTATGTTATGATGGTAACAAATATCTGGCCATATTTTAACCCGATTGGCTGGTAAAAACATAAATCACTTCATACCATTGATAGGATGGAGCTATACTATCCATTAATTCGACCTACCCAATTGTGTGGCTCATGAAAGATACAAAAATGCATTTCCCCCCACACCAATCACAAGAATCAAGATCAATAATCAACAACCATCGAAAACCAGGGATCGCATGACTATCGAAGGTACCTTCTATCTCTCGTGTATCTGACACCGCAAAAAGGTTTGACTAGCCGCAGTAGCTCGGCTACTGGGCTCTCTTTTTTCTACTACCTTTAAACAAGAATCTGTCCAAAATCGCCACAAAACCCCAGCAGCCACCCAATGACTAAGCAACAGCCACAAAATAAGTATGAGTAGCGTTTAGTTTTCGTAGCTGTAAGCAACAATTAAACCAACGACAACTAAGTAAGCCAAATAATGTTAAACCCTGCGTAAGAGCCAATCAATCGCCTCACTATCTACAACTAAACTGCCACTCAAAGTATCTCTCACTTACCAAAACAGCAGCAAAAATATATATTTAACAAATAGCTCATATCCAATTGAACTCGCTCTGTATGTAATGACTTGAAAACCCCCCTCAAACCTCGTAAATGTTGTGTGTATATAATAGAATGTAATTTTTTCCAACCCTCTGCTCGTTTGTTTGTTGATGTTCACCTGATTACCCTTGATTCCGTTACTAATCGAACAATCTCTCTTTCCCCAAAACCGAAAAAAATGTGAAATAACCCATTTAGATTGACTATTACCGCATCGTGTCCGATGAATCTACAATATTTCCCCATGGATCGCCAGCTGTGCCACATTGAAATTGAAAGCTGTAAGTACATTGATCTGAATTACCAATTACTGATGTTTAGCCAAGAAATGACAACCAGATATGATAATGAGAAAATTGTGAAAATTATCAATGAATGTGAATGTGAACAAAGCAATATGTGAACAAAATAAAACCAACTCATTCAGAATGTCGGCAGGGGAGTGGCCAAAATAAAGTGTTTTTTGGCCAAGAATTTTGTGCAATTTTCCAGTGTTGTAGAGAGCTTTGCATTTACCTGTTATTTTAGCCAGTAGCCTGCACCCTTTAGCCACCATCTGCACCCAGTTTTGGCCACTCCAAAAAAGCCGAGCTCAACTCTCAAGCAAAGGCCGTGCGCTGTTTGTTCGGTGTGGGCAGAAAATCGAAAACAAGCTTATGTGAAAGAAACCAAACCGAAACAATTAAAATGCAAGCAAGTAAATTTTAAGTGCCACAGATAAAAACACACACACACACACCCGAAACACATTCGATTGAGGAAAAAGCAATTAAGTCGCTTTCGATATGAACAATTGTGAACAGAGCAATTATGTTGCCACAAATAGCAGGAAATCGAATTGAATTTACTTCAATTAAATTGTCTTTAGGCAAAGGTTAGGCGGCAAGGAATTCATTTTCAATTTTAGCTCTCAATAGATTTGATTTATTATTTCGAATGTCTGTTTTCAGTTCATTGTGCATATTTAGTTCAACTAAAATGGTCCCCACGCCCCACCAACCAACTCATTCAATTACTCAAATAGTTTCAGCCCCCCACCTCAGATATTTTTGGTCATGTATATTTGTTTTTTGAAACCAAGTCAAGTCTCTCACATGTAAACCCAGTTCATGTGCATTATTATCCGCATCTACCCGAATATCTTACCCAACAGCTATCAACCAGTATCAGTAACTATATTATATAACTATCAACAGTTCACAATTTCATGGCGCTGAATTCATGCAGAAGATTGGTTGGTTTTCGGTCGCCTTCTCAATTTTCAGCAACAGCAGAAGGCTCCACACCATGAGCCATATCCGATGATCTTTGTGAACCAGAAAGATATTCGTAATTTCTGCCACTGTCTTAGACTCGACTTATGCCCTTTAAGCCCATGCTAACTTAAGTTTATTTATATAATACATACTTATACTGTAAGTCAAAACCCATACACAGCACGCTTTTGCTTAAGATCTATATATTGTATATACGTTCGATATGCCTAAAATTTACGTCTAGAATTTCTTTGTCAAAACTCGCCACAGAAATCGGGTCCAAGAAATGCCACACCCACACTCACCCTATTTATAAGTCTTTTTATATACCGATCTAGCATCGAGTGTGTGAGCTAAGTATTCTGTGTATAAGTCCCAGAAACCATCCAACACCAAACCAAAAACAGAACAAACAAACAATAACATCAATTAATTAACTACTGAACCCCCTTTTTGCAACAACAACAACAACAACAACTACTACTACTACTACTCAACAACTACAACAATTCAACAACAACGATCTTCAACAACATGAAGTCGGTTACACGATGCGAGATATCCGATATTTCTGGAGAGATGGACTGAGTAGTGTTGGCATGAGCAGTGAGGTCGAACTACCGCAGTTCCGAGTTTTGGGACACAGGCAGAGGGCGACCGAAATAAACCTAACCACAGGTACCCCCATACATTAAAAATCATAACAAACCTAAAAAAAAAAAAAAAATATATATATATATATATATGCAAAATAAATAAAAACATCAATATAATCACATTACCATTTCCTTTGTTTTTGATAAGCATTTTTCAATGAACTTTTATCCGTTTTGCGTTTGTCGTAATGGATTTCGTAATCGTATTTTGATTTTGTGTTTCCGAAAAGGGTTAGCGCATATCCAAGTACCGAAACACGCACCTCTAACCAACCAAAGTTTTTTGTTCTTATCCGTCTACTTCTACTTCTTCTTCACCAATATATATATTTACCTTTATCTCTTTATCGAGTGCTAACCGTAACTTGTGCTACTAACCAGAAACAATCGAACCAATCCCCCATCTAAGCCACATATAAACATATATATATTGTGTTTGAAGTGTCCTCTACTAACCTCTGTTGTGACTACTCGTTGATTTGTTCTTTATTCTATATCTACTATTTCTTTGCGTATACTTTTCTTTCGTTTTGATTAACCGATCAGTAAAGAAGCAGTTAGTGACGTAGTGAGCGTTAGTTAGGCCCAGCAAATATGATTTCTGTTTCCTCCATTTCCGTTTCCGTTTTAATTTCAGTTCGTTTCGAGTCGCAAGAGAGTCCAGTTTCGTTTGCTTGGGTAGGCAAAAGCAAATAAATCGCTATTAAAAACTAAGAAACAATCTAAACAAAGGCCTGAGAACATTGTAAAAGCCTAAATCTTTAATCTCTAAACAGAAGACACAAGAGCACCCATTTCTGACACCGAAACAATTAGATAAGTTAAGCTATAAGTTTGTTTACTAGTCCTAAGCATCCCTACTACTGCCAATAAGAACAAACAGTAGCTGTAAGTCAACAAGAGCGCGCCTACTGAAAGCTCCTCAATCGTTATCCTAGTTACGCTTTGCCAATGGAAACATTATAATAATGCATTTTTAGCGCAATTGTAATATACGAACTAGCAATAATAATCTTAGAGTTTCTTCTCGATGGAATAAATCAAAAAATATATTTTTGAACAACACTTAAAGCGACAAGTTCTGAATGAGACTATTAATGCAACAACCGAATCGAAAATGTTCAACCGAAAAGAAAAGAAAATAACAATACCAATAAAAAAGAAAAAAAAAAAGAATGCACACTGCGAATGAATTGTATTGAATTGTTTAATGAAATTTTCTATGATAGAATAGAACTTATTAATAGTCTCACGAAATGTATTTTTTGTTTTATGCATATATTTCGTCTACAACAACGACAACCTCACCACCGAACTGTGCCAACAACAACAACAACAACAACTACAACAACTGTAATATAAACTCGCCTAACCAATTACAAAACTAAACCAAAAAACCAACCAAAAACCCAAACACCAAACTGTACAAAATGCAACTTGCAAACATAACAACAATTACAACAACTACAACGAATACAACAACAACAATAACTACAACCAACTATATACACCATATATAGTCGGCTACACGATGCGTGACATCCGTTATAAATGGAACGAGGGCCCCAACTCGGTCGGTGTCTCGAGTGAGGTTTCGCTGCCCCAATTTAAGGTCTTGGGTCATCGGCAAAGAGCTATGGAAATCAGTCTTACCACAGGTACCTGTAGACGGTTACCGATTTTCTTTCAAACTTTATTTTTACCTATATATAATATATTTACGATAATACCGATGATGACTTATCTATATATAACTACTATATATAAATATATAGTTTTGATTTTGCGTTTTCGATTCAGTTCTAAACTTTGAGGCATTTCAGTTCGATGAGTTCTTTTATTTTTCATTTTTCAATTCGAAATTATTTTCAAGCTGCATTTTGTAAAAAGTTTATCCAAATTCAATCAAACAGGCTTGCCAAAATAACTTGGGCTTACTATTGGCGGAATTGAATCCAGTTTCAAGCACTAATTGATTGATTTAATCAATCGGAGAGATGGTGCCTCAAGCTGGATCGATTTGCGATACAGAAAAAGCATGATAAGCATCTTAAGATTTTTACCTTATTTATATTCCATTTAGCTAGCGTTTGTTTTATCAACTAATCAACTTCTTAGCATACCAATACCAAGCAATAACGTTAACAATTAACTTACGATAATATAAACAAGCGCATTCAACATTAGCCCACTTCATAGTCTAGAGTCTAGACGGCCTGATTTTGATGAAGACCATGGTCTTAGAGCTTTTCCCACTTTTACTCGTACCTACCGGATACTGTTCATATATCTTTAAAAGCAAATTCAACGCATGTTACAAGCTAGCAACAATTTTCCGATTTAGTTCGTTCATCAAATGATTTTCCTTTCAGCTTACTTTTACTTTCCTAATCTCAGTTGATTCCGCCTTGATTTCAACGCTCATAAGTTCATACTTTACAGCGAACCATGACAAGAACAGAAACCAAAAAATAAACGAAGCAAACAAACCTAATTTTTATCATTGGCAATGCCGAAAAAAAATGACAAAAATCAAACCAAATCAAAAGAGAAATCAATATGAGATTGAAAAACAATTCACCTAGCGACCTTTGTATTATAAAACCAAATAAGCAAAGTGAAAATAATCTTATGCAAAAACGACAACATAAAGTAATCGATATAGCAAAGCTTAACTGAATATGGCTTTTCCTTAGTAAATCATGCTTTTGATTTATGCCTGACATTATTACAACATAATCAACAAATTTTTAAGCTGCCCAACACCCACACTCATACTCACACTCACACATGGTACACATAATTTTATTAACTAGTCACTGAAATTAGTTTTTACTACCAACAACAACAGCTATCTACAAACCTATCTACCAGTAATTTTAAACGCTATCGAAATTCATTAGCATAATCAACCAGCAACTGAAAACAATCGACACCAAACATTCTGTATTGTAAATCAACGACAACTACAACAAAAGCATTAATATTAAAATCCAAAATAATAAACAAAAGTTATGCAACATAATTTAAAATTCCAATCAACTCCCATACGCATTAAGCATTCAAACGTTTGCAAAATTATCGAACGAAAGACAATGAAAAGTTCAAAACCATATATACATATAAAATATATATATATTTACAAATAACAAATTACAAATATCCAAACAAATATATATATATATATAGAAAATACAAAACGCCCTCCCAAGCATGCTCTCATCTTAAAAGTTTCTTTTACAAAATCCTAAACAAAATAAATAAACCAATAGACAAATAGCCACAAAATGCAGGCAATTCAAATGCTCCTTATTAGGTCTTAGACTAGCTGCCTCTACTCATATTTCTTATAATTTTATTTACCTATTTTCTTCAGATTTGCGGTCAGTTTTAGTTACTCTAATGCAAGCCACTTGTTTTCCTTAAGTATTTGTGACTAACTATCCAATAAATTATACATCAATTTTTTTAATAACAACGATTTTTTGCTTCGGTTTAGTCGAAGCCAAGATGTTCTTGCAGAAACCCCGGCAAATAAACAAAAAAATATAATATATACTTGCTACCCTTTAATATATAGTTTACTTGAATAAATGTATTAAAATATATAAGTGTTGGTTTTTCTGCAAAAATAAATTTGGAATGCCTAGTATAGTTCTTCAAGTTTAGTTCTTGACCTTAGCTTTGACTTGACTACTTGCCATTTTGTTTATAGTCAATAAATATATGTTTATTGAAGTAATGCCTGCCTAATAACGATGTGTCGCATAGATGAAAACTAACAATATTTCCAGGAAGGTGCCAGCCAATCATAATTTCACAAAAAAATGCGCTCATATTTAATTTATTTATTCTATTCTTAGAGTTTTGTTTTGGTTTACTTTTGGAGTCCTAATTTTTTTTCTTGGATTTATTTTGATGATGAATACGTACTTATAAGAGCTGGCAAAACGTCGAAGATTTATTAAAAAAAAAAACTATTTCTAATACATATTAAAATGTTTAAAAAATGTCAAAAGTTAATATACATTTTTTAATTTTACATAAGCAGCCAAGGCTTTAGCATTTTATAATATTAATATCATTGATATTTATTCTTATCATGCTTTCGATGATTTGCCAGCTCTGCTACCAATATTGTTTGTAAATATTTGCAAATTGAATCAATTTAAGCGAGCTAAAAACTAATAATATCTTTATATCTCTCTCTACTTTCTGTCTCTCCCTATAAAAAAAAACGCTGAACGAACAAAAAATTAAAATTTAAAATAACCAACAACAAAAACAATAATTGCAATTGGCGCGGGCAGGCAACTATTCGCGTTTAGCCTGCGAAATTCAGTTCGTGCGTTCGATGGGCTACTACCTTATACAAATCTACATACCCTCTGGACTGATCGTTATTATATCATGGGTATCATTTTGGCTCAATCGCAATGCAACGCCGGCGCGTGTGGCGCTCGGTGTGACAACCGTGTTGACAATGACCACTTTGATGTCGTCAACAAATGCAGCGCTGCCAAAGATTTCGTACGTCAAGTCGATTGACGTCTATCTGGGAACATGCTTCGTTATGGTCTTTGCCAGTCTACTGGGTAAACAAAATCAACTACCGAAACTACCAAAACCCCCTAAACCGATTCCAAAAACCGAAAACCCATTAAGCGAAAATCCAACCAGTAGCAAAACGATTTTCCCCATATATCTCTCACACCAAACACACACACCCACACACTCACAGGCAGTGGATCTCTATAGATTCCGAATTTTTTGATTTCATTACCTTTTTCAGTTGAATAATACTGGCCAAGTTGCGTGCCAGCTTTCAGTTTTTTGTTTATTCAACCACACTTTTGCCAGCTTTCCGTGCCACGCTTAGCGTTGTGCAAAACAATCTTGCAGATACATCAAAAAAAAACACACTAGTTTCCTCGGCAAAACGATCTGCGTCTTGAGAAATTACTAACTGAATTTATACTATGATATAGTATCTAATTGGACCAGCGAAAACGCAGCTGAGTTTTGCCCAATCCACAGTAGTTTAATATCTATTTAAACTTAAACTTAAACATAAAATTATTTCACATTTCTTATGGAGCCAAAGGACCAGAAAAAGTCTATCCATAGAGATGCTGAAATGCACTGCACCTGAGGCACTGTAATGGGGTCCGGCACCTAAGTAAAGCTTGATATATGGTATATTTGATACTTAAATTCGATAGACAACCTCCTCTAAATAAGAATTAAATTTTCCAAAAATGTTCTATATATATATCAAGTTTTGGTGTTCGCCCCGCCGTTATGCTAACTTTAACTTTCTCTTTAACTATCTAACAACTAAAACAATTCTCAAGCAACAACTTACACCCACAACTACAACAACAACTCCAACAAACAGCAACAATAACAGCAAGAAAAGAAAAAATTATGAAAGCAAAGAAAAGAAAAGAAAAGAAACTGCAAAGAAACCCAAAAGAAACAAATCTCTTTTTTCGTATTTGTATGTTCTTGTTAATTTTTCAATACAAAGAAAAACTGTCATCCAAAGAAAATGTATGCAAATTCATAGATACGCGCCTGCGAATCGAGCGTAAAGGCACGAAAATTTACTCCCAACGTCCCACCTGTCCTTGTACCTGTACCTGTTTTGCACCTCGCACCTAGAATCGAAGCATGCTTCAGCCAAAAATGACAAAAACAAACCAAATACCATCCTCCAAAGCCTCTCCATATGTACGCTCGTGCATATGCCCATCTATATATAGCCGCCTCAGGTTGAGTTTGTGTTCAAGCACCCAGACGAGCAAATCGAACACACTTCAACCTGAAATGGTACCCAGATATCAATATACGCCCAGCTTCCGCCAAAATGCAAAACTGCAAGCTGCAAAAATCGCAAACCGAAAAAAATGTACAAACCAAAAAAAAACAACGCACCTAAACCAAATCAAAATCAAAAAAATAAAACAGGGTACGAGTAGAACGATCAAAAAAATACTAATAAAAAAAAAAAACGTAAGAGGGAGCGCATCATAATCAAAAAACGAAACCAGCATGCCCTGCGCCACACCTGGCTTGACTCGCGATTGAATTGAATCAAAAAACAAATACGAAAAAATAAGAACAGACACAAAACACTGTAAATATGGTTCAACAAGTCGTCGATCAACAGCCAGAAGACGCAGCCCCCGAAGACTCTACAAGACAACAGAGCCCAAAAAAAATAAAAGAATCCAAGAAAGTGCGCCTTAAAAACATAACAGTATCTGATAGATACGAGTTTCTGCGATTTGGAGACCTCAAGTTTGGGTCATTTAAAAGGGTGACCCAGACATGAAGACTGCCAGATTGTCAAGCAAAAAATAAATATTTTAAAAATCGCACTTGATAGTAACCCTTCAGTGGTTAGGTAAGATATGATTTGTAGTCTGCTTTCTGTTCTGTTCTATTGGCTATTTGCAGCGATTGGTTACCTTGTTTGCCCCTGGTAAGTACTCTTGTTACTAGTTACTAGTTACTCGTTACTCGTTTCTGTTCCGACCCTGTTCTATCCACCTTCATCGGCGAGTATGCGATTTGAAAGTCCCCCTCTATAAAAACCCCCCTCCCCACAAAACACCGTCAAATTGAAATCTGAACCCGTAACATTTCCAAGGATAATGACAATTGGAGAAGCTAAGAACCAGGAACAAAGCAGCTGAAATACATATAAACAAAAAAAAACACGCTGGAAATTTTCGTGTCCTTTATAACGGGCGACCCTGTTCAATGAATTTGCATTTAAGGCACGCACATGAACATTTTCCTTGAATGATGGTCTCAACTGCAGGAATAAATGTGTACATAAATCGTTTGGCTTACAAATGACTTTTTCCACTCATTTCACAAAAACAACAAAACAACAAGAACAGCCTTAAACACGGACACTCACATTCACTCTCATATAGACTCACAACACACACACACACACACACACACACTCACACACACACAGATACACTCCAATTGCTCTGTCTCTTTAGAATATTGCTAACTCACTCACACACAAGACTTGCTTTATTCGAATTTTCCTTTGCCTGGCTAAAATGGAGATACGAAAATAAATTCACCTTAATTTTTTGATTTCACTTACCCCAAAAACCCAGAAACACTGCAATATTTGCCCCCTAACGACTCTAAATGTTACTTATAGTCCACAAAGTCCTTCCAAAACCCCCCTTTTCCTTCTTCCCACAAACATTTGTAAAACCCCCTTTCCCACCCGACTACCTCTTATAGACGTTGTGCAAAAATGAACTCAAATTGTTGGCAAAATTCTGATGGAAATCAAATTTTCTTTTATTTTTCTATTTGTCTTTCCTTGTATCCGACATTTAATCGAAACCCACCCGCACCAAATTACCAAATATATACAATGCTACAATATCCAAATATATATCTGACAACTACTACAACCAAAATATCATCCGAACTTCATGCGGCTACCGACCACGACCACTAAATTCTTGAACTGCATCCGCATATCAACCTGTATTCTAACCAAAACCCCCCAAATATAACCACCATACCGTATGCCAAACCGTCCATCAACTATCTATCTAACGACTACATTCCAAAATCTAAATTGCAATCTGACCAATTGAAAATCAAAATCGAAAATCAAAAATCAAAAATCAAAATCGTTATCGTATCGTATCGCAATCAATAGAATACGCCACGGTCGGCTACATGGCAAAACGAATTCAAATGCGAAAACAAAGATTTATGGCGATCCAAAAGATAGCCGAGCAGAAAAAGCAACAGCTCGACGGAGCGAACCAGCAGCAGGCGAATCCGAATCCCAATGCGAATGTGGGAGGCGTAGGCGTAGGACCCGGAATGGGCGGACCCGGGGGACCCGGTGGACCCGGTGGCGGGGTCAACGTGGGCGTGGGCGTTGGACCGGAGCATGGTCACGGGCATGGTCACCACGCCCACAGCCACGGGCATCCGCACGCGCCCAAGCAAACAGTGAGTAACCGCCCAATCGGCTTTTCCAATATCCAACAAAACGTTGGTACGCGCGGTTGCTCGATAGTGGGACCCTTGTTCCAGGAGGTGAGATTCAAGGTCCACGACCCGAAGGCCCATTCCAAGGGTGGAACGCTGGAGAACACGGTGAATGGCGGACGCGGCGGTCCGCAATCGCATGGACCGGGTCCGGGCCAGGGCGGCGGACCGCCCGGCGGTGGCGGAGGCGGTGGCGGCGGTGGCGGGCCGCCCGAGGGCGGCGGCGATCCGGAGGCAGCGGTCCCAGCCCATCTTCTGCATCCGGGAAAAGTAAAAAAGGTAAAGGTAAAGATCGTACATGATGCGGCGATTTAAAAAGGTTTAACTGCCCCTGAACAAAAGCATACTAATATATTTCTTTTCGCCCACCACCCACCACCCATCCGATCCTTGATCCTGATTTACCAAAAAAAAAAAAAAAAAACACAGGACATCAACAAGCTGCTGGGCATCACGCCCTCCGACATCGACAAGTACTCGCGCATCGTGTTCCCCGTGTGCTTCGTCTGCTTCAACCTGATGTACTGGATCATCTACCTGCATGTCAGCGACGTGGTCGCCGATGATCTGGTGCTCCTGGGCGAGGAGTAGGTGGGCGTCCTCAAGCGACGCAAGGATTCGAGGGCGTGGCCCAAGGACACAGGAGTGAACAGCGCACGAGAGAGTCAAACTGTGCACGGCGCTGAAAAACCACACAAAAAATATAAAATGGAGAAATAACCAAACAAAAAAAAAAATACAGAAAACTAGACACAAAAAAATAAGCGGAAACAAAACTAATTTTAACTAGCGATATGAAAATGCAGAAGCAAAAGTTTATTGTTTAATACCAAAGCGGGAAGGACACACACATATTACAAGGTCGAAAGCAAAGAATATTGTTAAATATAGATTTACACTGAAATAAAAACAAAAAAAAAACCCAAAAGGTGACAAACCAACATTAGAATTAACAACCAAATGAGTATAAATGAATGAAGAATAATCAAAAGCAACAGATTAGCAAATTGTAGTAAAAATTATATAACGAAAGGCATAAGTGAAAGTGTTGAGGAGAATTATGAACCGATAAAAAAAGGAAACCATAAAAAAAAACCACAAATATAACGATCTAAAATCATACGCAACATAGGCATTAAACGATAACGAAGGATGACTATGAGAAACCCTCGAAATAGCGCAGTCGAAAAGTTGATTTCAACACACCAAGTAATAAATAGATGGTTAAAAAGTTTCCATTATCTTTGCGGCGTTTTGAGTTTGAGTTTACGAAAACGAAAGACCTTTGCTTCCCACTTCAAAAGCAAAACACCCAGAGAGTCTTCCTCTAATTTAAGTGCGTTTTCCCCTTTTTCAGCTGCACGCTCGCAAAAACCGAAACCGAAACCAAAACCAAGCCGAACCTGATCTAAACCAGAACTCACTATGTTGATCCATTGATTGCCCATTCAGTTGGTTGATTTGTTTATTCAGAACTGACTTAGCGCTTCCAAGTGAAATGGCCAAATTTATTAGAAATCAAAACGTAGTGCAAGGGACAATTTCGACAATTGCGAATCAGTTTGGCGAATGAATGATTTCGTTAAGTTAACTTTAAATGTATGATAAATCGAACACGAGACAGTCGACACGTAAGATCGAGAGGTTTTTAATCATTTGCACACCACACAATAAACTCGACAAGGATATTATGAATTACTTTGGAGCGCACCTTTTATAAGCAAGCATCGGAGATAAGTCATACAAATAGTTAGTGCAATTGACATAGCGAAATAATAATATGAACGATAATGATTCATTTTAGTTACACCAATTTTGATATCAACTTTAAAACTAACAACAAATTATTCAAACTGCACTCACTCACTCACGAACACAAGAATCAGAATCAAACTGAAACTGAAACTGAAACAAAAACTTTTCGAAGACAACTTTGCGGCACCATATGAAATCAATCTAAGGTCTAAGTGAAATTTTCAAACGCAAGTATGCCCAATAAATACCAGTAAATTAAAAAAAAAAAACGAATACAAATAGAACATAGAACATGAAGTACACAAGTATGAATGAAACTGCCTATGAAAATAGCGTATAAGTCTAACAAATAGTTGCTAAAAAGAATTAAACGAAGACAATTGATTTTCAATTCAATTTGTAAATACAAACAGAAGACACTCGGAACATTCTCAAAGCAAAGTAGGAGCAAAACTTCGCAATTAAACTTAGTTAATGTAATCGAATGTGGTTAAGCGATTAACTCGGATGCGTTCAAGCAGTCAATAAAGCGATAAACTAACAAAACATACTTACGATGCACCGTCTTAAGTTAGCCTAATGACACACAGATACACACACATACACATACACAGACACAGATACACACCCACACACGGGCAGGAAGGGAGACAAAAGAAACACGTATATATATATATATTTGAATTTTCGCTCAAGTTCCTCGATGAATCACATACACAAAGAGAAAGAAACAAAAGAGTTAAGTTAATTAAAACACATAATTAAAGGCAAGTGAGTTTAACTTTAAACGTAAAATAAAGAAATTAAAATACAATTTAGCACAATGGAGATAACTAAGCAAGCCATACCAAAATATCATCAATGAATTTTAATTTAGTGTTTATGATTAGTGCAAGGGCAGATCGTAAGGCTAAAGAATTTTGTACAGTTAGCTAAAGTTAAAGCTAGGATTTAGTTAAGCGCCATAATATGGCCTAAACACACACACACACACACAAACACACACAAGCGTATATGTATATAGAGTATGGCTTAAGGCGACACAAGTATATGAGATATATATTCATATAACGTATTTAGGCACCTACGTATATGTAGCACGAGTTTTTTATATGTAAACCAAACAAAATTGAACCCTAATCCGTAAACCAAAAAGCAACAAAAAAAAAAACAAAAAACACAAAAACAATTAACTGTATATACGAAAAGTACTTATGAATGGAACACTGACGGAGGAGGACGTTGTAGGTGGAGGAGGACGTTGGTGGTGACCCAAAATGGATCAGCTATGGAACCCTAGATATACTTAAGACGAAACCTGTAACCCTTCTTAAGGACTACCTAACCAATTCAGCAGAACGACTACCGAAGAGACCCCAAGGAAAATTACTTTATTAACGATCTAGACAGACACAAACACACACACACACACACTCACACAACACGAGCAAAAGTTGAAACAATTAATAACAGATAGTCGAGGAGTCGACCATTTGATACCCTTTAGCCATACACTCTATCGTCTGTCTGCTTATTGGAAAGTCCCTCAAAGTCCCTACCCATTTTGCACCAAACGTTGGCTAAAGAGTATCCGAAATCTTAACTAGGAATCTGAGCGAAATGAAAGCAATATAAGGTTTATCAAAAATTAATTGATTAACTGATTAACTTATAATTTATTGAGCCAATTGAAACGGATTTGAGGCAAACTGCAATTGATCTACCAGCCACACAGAACATTTCCCAAGAAAATAGCTATAACTCGAGACTCGGCCACATACAAGTGAAATCGGTGATAAAGAACATAAATAATATGTATCTGCTTATATTAAAACCTACACACACACACACGCAAATATATAGATATATTTTGTAGCTATACAAGTGTCAGAAATCAATTATGTTACCGAAGACAGAAATCAAAATGTTTACAAATGGCTGAGGTTCATTTGTAAAAATGCTATTTAATAAATATCCCCCAAAATGAGGTCAAATAAATTTTTGATGCGAGAACAACAACAAATAGCTGCTCAACGGTTTCGGAGCGTATTTCCAAAGAACGTAAATTAATGAAAAAACCATTTTAGTTGTAAACAATGCAAAAGGCGAAATAGTTGACAAAACATTTTAAGAGGAAAAACACTTAATGGCAAATTGATGCGTTTAATTTTTCATATGTAATTTTTTACTCTACAACCTAGTTTACGATATAATTTGTGGAAAATGAAAACCAAAAAATTTAGTTGCCCATAGTGAGGACTTTTTAATAAAACAAATTAACGATGCAAGACGATGAAAATGCATATGCACGTGCTGCGTATGCAAAAGCATTTAGGACAACAACAAAAACAATGAGGATTGGAGTATTAAAAAACGATGAAAATATGTAAAATGTTAAATTATACACACAATGAAATGTTTGAAGCATTTTTGGTGTCGCTGTTTAGACGGCGACACCAACACCAACGTTTTATAAAGCAACCGAAAGGGAGAAATAAATAAGTAAATCTATATGAGGATCGATATATACGTGACGCGATGTAATAATTACGTATGTATATGATGTATATTTAATTATATATTATATATGTATGGTGGTCTCAAAAAAACAACAAAACAAGCAAAACCAAAAAAGAAATTCTAAAGTATTTAGATAAGCAAACCAACAAGTTGAGAACCCTAGCGATTAAGTTGAAGCACACAATACACAGAAACAGAAACAGAACAGATTCAGATACAGATTTAAAAACAGATACACTGATAAAAATCGGATCCCAGTTCATGCAGAGTGCACCGAAAATAAAAACCTTTTTTAACTGAATTCAAAGTTAATGCAAGTGAATATTATTACTGAGAAATAGTCTATTACCCTAGGCAGCAAGACGATATTGATTGAACCATGAATTGTTAGAATGATAAAACACACTATTCACATCACACACACTTACGGTTGTACGTTGCATACACTTAGTTTGTTACTACGGAGAATTCATTTTGGAACAAGTCCCCATTATCATTATCCGTTAAACCCTTTGCTCAAGCAAACAAAAAAAAATGCGAAAATTTGTTATTACATTATAAGATTAGGGACAAAGCACCCTTTAAATTCCCCCCCCAAAAAAAAAAAAAAAAAAAAAACCACCCCGCAGGCCCTGACTACCGAAAAATATATATGTGTGTATGATTTGTCAGCCATCTACTTACCAGGTTAAAGTCTCATACCATCGTCAAGCATTAACAGCCACAAGAAGCTGATTGAGGAGGAGTTTGTCTATATAATTTTTGGTTTTATCCGTCCATCAAAAAGAGTTCCTAAATGCAATAAATGAACATGTTTTATGATTACCAGCCAGCCGGCCTGCAATCCTTTAGCCTTCCCTAGCTCACATTGGTCTGCTGTCAATTATTAGTTCCACAGCCTCTCAGACGATTATTTCCGACCCCCAGAATTTCGGTTGCTCGACCCATCAGCCTCAGAGATCCAACAAAAACACCCACACCCACATAAGTATATAAGCAAGCATATGTTTGAGGAGGAGCCTCACAGAATGGAGGCGTAACCAAGAGGAATAATTTAAAACGTATTGCGTATGTAATGATTGATCACTGATCACAAATTTTGACTGTGTTAATTTCGTTATATAAAATGAAAAACAAAATTAAAAATAACAAAAAAAAACTGAAATGAGAATAATTATCTATAGCATATAATAAATAAACACACACATAACAAAATAATTAAAAGGGAAAATAATAAGAGATGAATGTTACAAGAAAGTAAATGATAAAACCCAAGAGGGAACCTATATTATTAAGTTAAATACTAAAACTAAAAACATCCAAGTGGAAAAAATGCAAACCAAGAAGGAATATTATAATATTGCAATGAAGTGAATATAAATAAAGATATGTAAAAAAATTACAACCCGATGAGTTTTATTTCTATTTCAGCAATTCCCAGGGAAAAACTCAATTGATATTCTTTTGCTTTAAAGTGGAAATTTTATTTTTTAGTTGTTCGAACAGAAGGATTTTCAAACTATGACATAAACCTTTGATTAATTCACTGGGCGGGGTCAAAAATTACATACAATTCAGTTTGCGGCTTAATTATATTTGATTTTCCATTTTAATCTATGTTCGGTAATATCGATTATGTGAATATGAAGTTTTCCAATTGGTGAGTTATGAACTTTAATATTCGAGTATCGCAAACAAAGTCTCGCATTGAGTAGGCGTTTTACTAAATTCAAATATCTTCGTTCTGGCATCCAACATTAACTTAGACCATTTTTTAACTAGACACGGAAAACATTTAACTAATTAGACTAGTGTTTTGCATACAATTACAACAATACAATATATCTGCCGGATCCGCTCATACGATTCGAATACATTCATTGGCGGCTTCGATAAATTTACTATAATGTGCAGAGATCCTAAGACTAAGTGGAGTGAACAGAAGCGATAAAACAATACCAACTGAATTGACATTAAAGTTGATTGGCTTTTGTTGGCGGCAAGATCAAGCGAACGGCTAACTTAACGCTGCTAAAACGGATTCTCTAGTTCACTTAGATATATATACATATTATTGCTCGATTAGTTGTGTATGCTGATATTCGAAGACCCGTGTCTGAGTGCTACATAAGTAATTGTCTTTCAAAACGTTACAATATTCCATTTATAATATATCAATGTATTCCATACGTGTTCAGAGGGTATAACACATTACAAACTAACAAATTATGTATATATTTATATAGTAATATATCGTATGGTGGTTTTGTTTATGAAGGCCCAGTTGATGTCTAACTATAACCCCAGAGGCAGTCAGAAGAAGTATTCAAATGGATGTACACAATTTGAGCGCTGTACGTGAAAAGTGGAGTGTATAGGGATCCCGTTCTGATATAAGTACAAATATTCTATATTCTGCTATTGTGTCGTTGTATTAAAATCGGGCAGCCAAAATAAACTATCATATTTATGTACTTATAGGGGCAATATCCAATTAACAGAGCTTACTACAATCTATTGCCGCCACCCGATCGATAAGTTGCTTGTCCGTCTGTGTCAGGCTGTATCATCTGTGTGTTTGGATTTGTTGGAGAGGTTGTGGGATGGGTGTGAGATCAAAATGCTGTCAAGTGTTGTGGGGTGTTTGGTTGTAGTTGTGGTTGTGGTTGTGGTTGTGGTTGTGGCTGTGGTGTTCCGCTGATCCGATCTATAACTGTCCGTGGCTATAGTCTATATAGTATATATCATGCTCATGGTCGTGTGCCTAAAAGAACAAAAGAAATAACATTGAAGTGCCGACCAAGAGGAAGAGACCGGAGCGCCGAATCTAAGCGTTCGACTCCTTCAGATTTTGCAAACGTGCCAATTGATTTGAGTCCAATTCCTCGGGTATGCTAGCTCGGCCACCGACCACCTGCTTGGGTGCCTCAATATCCTCCTCGCCGGCCGTAGATCCTGATCCTGATTCTCCTGCTGCCGCCTCCTCGCCATTGATGTCCAGTTCGCTGGACTGTCCCCCACCGCCACCGCCCCCTCCGCCGCCGGATCCCGATCCTGCGCTTCCCGCGAAGGCATCATCAAAGTTGGCATCGAAGTTGGCCTCAAAGTTGGCCTCAAATCCCGATCCGCCGCCGGACTCGCCCTTGGCCTTCTCGTTGAACGGATCCTCCGCATCCTGCAGGGCCGGCACATCGGCCACCGAGGCCGAGTCGGTGCCCTCCGAGAAGGACTGTTGGTCCTCTGCATCACAGGATGGATACTCGGTCAGTGTTATGCTCACCACGGGCCTCACTCCAGGATTACCTTCTTTGGCCGCCGAGGTCTGAGGCGCGACCTTGGTCTGCGGCTTGGGCGCAATGTCTGGCTTTTTGGCCACTTCCGCCGGCTGCTCCTTGGCCACTTCCTGTTCCGGCTGCTCATCGCTCTCGCCTACTGGTGGGAAAGATTTATCGGCACCGTCTTCAACCATGGGGGTTGCAGCGGTAACAATTATTTGTGCCATACCTAAGTTCAGCGTGTTGGCGCCGCCAGCCGCCGCCCCCTTGTCACCCTTATTCCCCGATCCTGGGCCGGATCCGCCCGCCTTCATTAGCTGGGGCGGCGGCAGCGACGGCGGCGGCTGCCCATCGTCACTGAGATCGTCCTGGAAAAGGCAAAATGCTCAAATTAGCCAAAGAACAATCAAAAAATATTTAACACTGAGTTTCAGCATATTTTAAAAAAACGTTTTTTATACCCTTGCAGGGGGTATTATATTTTCAGTTAAAAGTTTATAACGCAGTGAAGGAAACATTTCCGACCCTACAAAGCATATACATTTCGTCCGTCCGTCCTTTAGAACTTTGCTGTTCTTTTATTTATTTTTTTGTTATTTTTTAAGACATGTTGGTTTAATATTTAAGAATTACGATTTAATTTTTATTTTAAATCGGTCGACTATCGCATATAGCTTCCATAAAAACAATCGGAAAATTAAAAAAAAATTTAACACCTTTTTTACATTTTTTTTAAAATTCTTTTGCACAAAAAATAAAATCGGAAATAGATTTCAATTAGCTGCCATAGAAAGGATCCCATAATTGAGCTAAAAATCGTCATAGCTTTAATCGGGTAGAAAATGTACAAAGGATATATATAATCTTCGGCTTGCCGAAGTTTGCTCCTTTCCTGTTTAAGAAATAATTTAATAATATACATAATAATATACATTTAAAATGTAAACAAAAAATGAGCATTAATTACTAACTAATTCTTTTAAAATTCATTATGAACAGAAAACCATTTTATTAGAGTAACTTATAAGTTAAATAAAAAAAATTTAAAAAATAATAAACATAAAACACATTTTCTGTCTTCAAAAAAATTAATTTGTTAGACAGTTTTTATTATTGTTTAAAATACATGTGAATATATTACCTCCATGCCAGGCTCTTGGATGAGTACTGAGTATGCGTTTAAAATAAATGAGAAAATATTCATTGGCTTAGTCAAGAATCACATTTTCGGTATAATATGTCTTATATCAATACAATTTGTCGATCAAAATGTTATAGAGCGGTGAGGGAGTAATTAAAATAGTTGAGGATCAAGTCAAGGCAGCCTTGGAACAAAAGCTACGTAAGAAAAACGATTTGGATTGGCAAGTGGAAAATAAAAAAACATAAAAATAGCAACAGCAAAACTAAAATGGAAAAATACATTTCGAATCTGAGGCTGACAAACATGCGGGAGACGGGTAGAAAACTAGAGGTTTTATATAAACATCTTTGGTTTCCAAATTCAGTTTGATAACTACTGAACTACTTATGGAAACCAATTGGGTTGAATATAACCATAAATAAATATTTAAAAAAGGTGACTTTTCCAAAGAAAAGTATATATTTTTATTGTTTTGATTTTTTTTTAAATATATAATATTAAATTGTTAAGAAAAAACCTCATACTGAACATATATATAGTTTCTATATACCAAGAAGTAGGAGTCAGTTTATAAGTTTAACAATAGTTAAGAGGATTTTTGGACATGCTGTCAAACAGTGGAATTGAAACAGATTTTCCTACACTAAAGATACTGAATTGAGAAAGTTTGGGGATAAGATAGTTTGATAAAAGAGCATATTTATTAAATTACCCTTCTTGGCAGTGGTTTGGCTTTGGTTTTGGCCTTAAACGACACAAAGACACAATTACACTGAGAGAAAAACAACCAATGCAAAACGGCAATGAAAGAAAAACGTGATTTATATAAATAAATAACCAATCAAAGCTTTCAATGCAATTAAATTGAAATATTAGTGCCATACACACATCAAATATATATCTTTATATGGAAAGATAAAGAGAAGCTGCAAAAAGAAATAAATCGAATGTGGAGAAATAACGATAACACGACACGACACTTTTTGACAAGCAGCCTAAGAATAACACTGTAAGAAATCGTAGGGCATTTCATCGGTTGATTTCGTCTCGACTGCGGAGACTTGCGGAGACTTTTGGAGACGAGAGACAAAATAGCACATTAACGGAGAGTTGTGGAGAGTAGTTACAGTGATATATGGTGGCAAATTGTTGTAATTTTGTGGAGGTTTAGTGGTGGATTGGTGGTGGTAGTAAAGGTACAAGTGGTTAGTAGTTAGACGAGCTGCACTTTGGAGATTAGGTTTACCTCTAGAGAATATAGAAGCAGGTAAAACAGTACTTTTGATCGGAAAGTTTTGGTTTGTTGTTTTTTTTTTTTTTTTTTTTGGTAGTGGAAAGTTAAAAATTATACAAATGTTCGGTACTAGAGGAATCGATATCGAGTGACATATATTGTATAGTATAAAGAAAGATAGAAAGGGAAAACAATAGACCAGGTGTTGTGAAGGGGCGTGACATTTACCTGGCGGAGGCATACTCGGAGCAGCAGCACCGTTGGGTATATAGCCGCTATCCTCATCTATCAAAAACGAGAGCAATTTATTATTTATCAGGAAAAAAATTATTTCCCAGTAAATTATTTTTAGAAGATTCTCTTAAAAAAAAAACAAATATAATATATTTCATAAACAAAAAGATTGTTTAAAAGTACCCATTAAAACAAAAATTTGTATGACTAATTAGTTTTAACTAATTAGTTTTAATCAAAATTAAATCTGGCTTAAATGGCCCACCATTTTTATCTTAAGTCTGATGAATTCTGTCTGAATCTAAATTGTGAAGCTTACCTGCCGTGTCCTGGGAGCCGAACATGTCCTCAGTGAGCTCCAGCTCCAGCTCGTGGGCGTACTCTGGGGGCAGGGCCGGAGCGGGGGGCAGTGCAAAGCTGGGCGCCGCAGTGGGCGGGGGCGACTCGTCGCCGCCCTCGCTGAGCGGCTCGCCCAACTCGTCACACTCCTCGACGACCAGCGATGGGAAGTTGCCGAACTTGCCGTCCAGCTCGCCCTCCCACCACCCATCGTCGACGCCGTGGGCCGTCTTGGTGATGATCTTGATCTTGTCGCCCTCCTCGAAGGTCAGCTCATCCTCGGCGGTGGCGTCGTAGTCGTACAGCGCAATGCACCACTCCACGTCCGACTTGACCCGCTTCTGGGGGGCCATGATGACCGACACCTGGTCGGGCGATTGCATCGAGTCCACCGTCTGATCTTCATTGTCAACGGTATAATCGACAGATGAGAATGAGATTTGTGAGCGCAATTGATTGCCGGAAGTACCATTAAAGGCGCTGCCCGCTGTCTCCTGATCGATGTCCAGATAGTTGTGTGGCACGTAGCCCTCCTCGCCGCGATAGTTTCGGGCCCTCAGCCACCCATCGCCGTCGCCCTCGCCAACCACCTCGAGTTGCTCGTTCTCGACGATACTGAGCTCGTCGGGATTCTGGGCCTGTGGGGAAATAGTTTGGGTAATAAATACAATTTGTTCTTTACCACATATTATATTAATGGGGTTGCCAAACAAAATCACGAAGGCTTTAAAATGTAGTCCTATATTATATAGGTCACAGAAACATCTAAAGATTTAATAAGTTCTTTAAAAAAAAGACGAGACGATATTTGAATTAATTTAGCAAGCATTGGACAATTCAATATGTAATTAAATTTCTCTCAGTCCTTACAAATTTGTTGTTATTCTATGCCTCTACGTAGATTTTGGCACTCTTTTAAAGAAAAACTAAAAGTCTCCATTAAAGTTTATGGTCTTTTAGGCACCTTTTTCTGTGAAATTTATGCCCCAGTGATTTATGTGGCACCAAAATAATAATACCCTTACCGTATAACTGTAGAGCGCAGTGCACTTAAATATAGCCTCCTTGGGTTCCGGGACAATCGGCTCATCCTTGTCCTCCTCCTCCTCTCCAGCTCCCCAGTTGACCTCAGTGGGATCATCCCAGGCTCCGGCGCTACTGGCCATGGCGGATGAGGATGCAGCCGCGGCAGAAGATGCTGCAGCCGCCGAAGGACGCACCTCGGGCTCGTCATCACTGTCGCTGAAGGTGCGATCCCTGGAGAGTTGCTGCTCCTGCTTGGGCTTTGTCTGGGCAGTTGCCTGGGTCTGCGTCTCCTCCTTGTCGCTGTCGTAGAAGGAATCCGAACTGGGATTCTCGCCCTGGCCAGAGGCATCGGTGCGCATCGAAATGGAGCTGGCCGAACGCGTTAGCTCTTGTACGCCCATAATCTCGGCCTCCTGCACCCACTCGTCCACGTTGATGCCACCATCTCGCAGGCACTGCAAACAAGCCTCCGCCTTGGTTTTCTCCGTCTCCGATCGCCGGATTTGATCACGGAACTCCTCGATCTTGGTGTCCAGATCGGGTCCATTTGGATCGTTGGGATCGGTACGCTGGCCAGAATCTCGTAGCGATTGGCACAGGGCCAACTTCTTGGCGTTCTCCCTAATCGAAGCGTTCTCCTTTACCACCCTTCCGGCCAGATTCTTGGCCTCCTTGGTCAGCGTCTCGGCAGCGGATTCGTGCTCCGCGGTCACCTTACGCACCGGATCGTTGTCGCACGCCTCGAAGTCGTACTGAATGTGCTGCTTGAGCACCGGATAAAACAGGTAGCAGCACTGCAGGTTGTACTCCCGGGTCAACTGCTGCGCCTGGTCGCGGATTTTCCCGAAACTATTCTGCGTAGCCGAGCAAGTCAGTAGCTCTGTGCGCCTGGAAAATAAAGGTTAAAGTTATTTCATGTGCCAATTCAATAGTAATTTAAAGGGTATCCTAATTCTATTGTCGAGATAAGGTTAAAAAAAATGTACCGAGTACTTGAATTTATAAAAAGTCTATAGATGAAATCACATTGTGATTAAAAAAAACGTTAAAAAGGGTATAACTCGAAAGTATTTTTTAATAATGTAGTTGCCGTTTCTTATTCCAATTTGGTCTAATTAAAATAGAATTGATATAAAATGTTTATTTTCTACAAAACTATAGCAAACATTGATTCAGTTAAGCCTTTGTATAAAATTGTGATAAATGTGGAAAAGCGAACTCTATTAAGAATATTATCAGAATGTAATTAGGGTCATGACTAAGTTGTTGTTAGGTGAGTTATTGACTTATAAAATGAATCATAGATTACTATCTTCTTAGCTGGTGAACTAAAGAGAAGTATCCTATTAATGAAAATGAGTTACAGTACTAAACAACTTGTTCTGATTTAAAAAGTTTTCAATATATCGAAGTGGCGATTTCTTACCCCATTAGCATCAGGTACTCGGCCACCCTCTCAAACACATAGTTCTCCATGGTGGTCATGGTGGTCTGCAGATCGACGGTGAAGTAGCGATTCTGATGGGCGTTGGCCGCGGCCAAGCTGAGTACGTAGTCATTCCGGGCTCCAGAGGACTTCTCTTCGAGCAACTCCTTGCGAGATGTGACCCGAGCGCTGTTCTTCTGCAGCGAAGTGATTGATTGAAAGAAGGAGCCCTTCTTTTTCTTTAGCTTTTCCTCGATATCGCGGGCTTTATCCCGCACATCGTGAGCACAGTGCTCTTCATCAAAGTAAGATTTCTTGGTTTTGTCCACATCCCCAACGCTCAAGTGGAGTTCCTTCTGCACATTTACTATTCCGGATAGCGAGCGCTTCGCAATGGCCAACTTGTAGTCTCGAAGGACCTTGGCCTCGTCGGCGATCTGCTGTTGGAACACCTCTATAGCGGCCAAACGAGCCCGGGCCAGCTTTTCGTTCTCCTCGAGCACTGTGCGCCAAACACTCCACATGTTCCTGCAAAAATGTACATAAATTAGTACGATATAAAAATATTGCAGTAAAAATATTTTATTTTATAGTAAGGTGCCTCAGAAATCTCTTATTTATGAAGTGAACTGTCCATCAGACTTACGAATATCATATATTGGAACATAAAGCCTGAACCTCTAGAGATTTCTTTGGTACTCCCCATTGCCTAGCAAATATAAAAAGCATAACCCACCAGCGCTCCTCCATGCCTTCCATCTTAATATCTGGTATATTGGGTATCTTCTTGTTGAGATACTGCGATGAGATCTTGAGCAGGGACTCGCTGTACGACTTTTCGACTGCCGAGCGTTTGATGGTAAACTGCCGGATGTCCTCCAACAGGTCGCATTCATGCTGGTTCTTTAACTGCAGCTTAGCCACCTGCTCCGTGTGCAAATTCTTGAGGAATTTCACATAGTTTCCCTGTGGATTACGGGAAATCAATTATTGTGGTACTAAATTGTTTTAATACATAGTTCTCTTTTCAAGCTTTACCTTACGCGGCGGCGGCTGCATCTTGGGGCTTTGTTTACGGCAATCGGGTCGCTCTACGATTTGTTTTTTTTTTTTTTTTTGTTCAAGCGCCGATTTAATGGTATTACATTACCTCTAGCAACTGTAAAAAATAGTATGATACTATGAGATTGACATTCTATAGGATAGCGGTATGGGTATAGGTTCAAAATTTTGTAAAAAAATTTCGACAATTAAATAGCACTGTTTAATAATAGTGTCGTATTAATAATTAAAAATTAAAAGTTTTTTTTTTTTAATAAGATAATGTCCTAATGTACTAGTATATAAAAATATACAACAAAAAAATTTTTTTGCTTTCAAGTTCCAAGAAATTAGTACCAAAAGTAGATTAGATAAATTCAATGTCATCGGAAATATATATTTATATACTATATATTTCTACATGAAAATATAAAGGCCATTTTTGACTGTGTAAGTGGGTGGTAAATGTTGGAGGTTGGTGGCTCATAAGTCGTTAATGGATTCGCTACGCAGCAAAGAGTCTGAAAAACTTATGTAACGAAAATGCAATGAAAACTGGCAAAAAGGCTTTAAGGAAAACAAGGGTTTTCTTCAAGCTATATTTGATACTATTTTTAGGTGGAAATTTTCACTGGAGCAGCCCACGCAGCAGCCCCCGTTTTCGGGTATCGTATCGATTTCTCAGCCCCCCAGACAAGCTTATTTTTCAGCAAACTATGTACGTCAATCAAAACACTTGGCTAACACTCTTTTTGGACATGGCCGGGTTGGGTTGTTGTTATCTGCTGGATTAGTACTTTTTGGGGAACTTATCGCTGAGTTATTCACTGAAATTATTGGACTTTTCTCGGCAGCTAAAATCCGTTGCTTACTTATCGATTTCGATTTTCACGACGTTTGTGAGGAGACTTTTTCACATGCACCGTTAACTGCTGCTGCGCTGCTGCTGCGCAGGAAGAGAGCGCCGAAGAGAGCCGCGAGAGAATGTGAAATAATGTCGGGGGAAGAGAGAAAGACAGAGAGTAGCGGCGTTTCATTCATGGCCTCAAGTGCCGTTAGCAAAACAGTAAAACATTAACAAAAGCACATGCGCCCCCGTAGGGTGAGTGTTTTTTTTTTTGTTTTTGCCCCGTCAGCTGCTTGATAACTGCGGGGCAATAATAAAAAACTAACGAAAATACTACCTTGGATTTCAATCCAATTTGTTACTGGCACCTGGCGTCCGGCGACTGCTTCCAAAACACATATGTATGCTGGGGCTATCAATTGCGGCTTAATTGATAACTTTCTGATATTGGCTGAAACTTTTGATAAGATTTTTCGACTGGCGCCCAAAATAATGCTACAAAACAATTCTACGTTGTGGTATTTCGAAATGTATTTTTATTAAAATACCAAAGACTGGCTGACCATCTATTTTATAGCTATAAAGCTAGTTCAATTATTTTAGCGGAAAGGCAGTTTTGTTAGTCTATTAAATATATTTTTAAATCGTACCTTATTACAAAATTAATAGCATTTAAATCATAATCAATACAACAATTCATTTTCAAATGTTTTAACAAGTGAATATGGTTTCTAAAAGCCTGTATTATTAACAAATTTATTGTTTTTTTTATTATTGGCTTGGAATGTTTGTGCTATTTATCAATACAATCTAGCTGCAAACTTGCCAGCACTGCCCGCGACTATCGATATAACCAAATGTCCTATCGAGTGTGACCAGATAAAAACTAGCTATTTTTAGTATATTAAATACAAATAGTGTTTGTACTTTGTTGTTTTCATGTTTTCCCCTCAGAAATGGCCACGAAACTAAATGTTAATATCCGGACCTTGCTGGCCAACTGCGAGGACCTGGCCAAAAGCGAGCAGAACTTCTGGCGACTGCAGAAATTCATCAAATCGCTGGACACGATGATTTCCGAGCTGGAGGCGATGGAGGATCCACAAAGTGCCACTCGTATTCCGGGCTATACGGAGCGCCTGAAGGCCCTTAAACTATCTACGGGCTTTACGGAGTCTGCCGGCTCCACAACAAATACTCCCTCACAATCATCTGCCGTCAGCGAAACCGGGGAAAATGCACTGAAAGAAATGAGGCAGCTGCAGAACACCAAACATCACAACGAACTGCGGAAGGAACTGCTACAGGGTAATTTTGGGTTCAAAGGGGCGACTTCCATAGTCTTACATTATATTTTATAAATAAGAACTCATGTTCAAATCTCTTAATATGTATTTTAAAGCTAAAGATTCATAAAAATTGTATGCTAGTTTGTTACATACTTTTAAAGTTATATAGGCCCATATCCAAACGTTTTGTATCTAGATCCAGATTGCCATCATCTGAAAATGTACCAGCTTAAATATTAAGTTTAAGATATATTTTGAAGAAACATTTTAAATAATGTGTTACAAAAAAACCATTTTAAAAGCGAGTTACAATATTATTTTTATTTTCTAAACCCATACTTCTGTTTAATAAGATCTTTCGTAATAATTTTGAATTTAAACATGAATATATTTTTATATATAAAATATCTATATTTTCTCATATTTTGAATTCCTGCTATTTAGATGGCGATGCGCTGCGAAGACGTCGAGGAGTGGAGGAGAGCTCTTCTAGTCCCAATGGCACTAGCGTACAAACAACTTCTGGGGAAAATATGAACGAGGCTGCCAAGTATTACACAAATGCCCAGGAAAAGATCACCGAGCACATGCTCTCGCTGACACGAAATCTAAAGGAACAGACCGAGACTGCTAACCGGATTATCCGTAGGGATACGGAGGTTGTGTCTCGATCCACCGGAATGGCGGATCGCAATATCAATTCCCTAGGGAAAGAGGCTGAGAAACTGGAGCAGCATTCGAAAAAAGCCTACAAGTGCTGGCTTTGGCTAATGATTGTCTTTGTAATTGTCACTTTTATAGGTGAGTCATGCATTTTACCAGAAAACTGTTGAAGTTCCCCAAAACAAATTCCCCTAAAAAAAATAAGCTTAGGATTTAAATTAGTTTATAAATACACTGCAAATAATATAAGCTAAAGAAGGCGGACTAACCCAAAACTATAAATATTAAAATTTAATGTAATGCAAATTATGTTTTTGATTTACATGAATAATTATTATTTTTTTTGTAACATAAAAAAAATAATACTGAAACTAAACACGTCAGAAACTTGATTAAACGTAATATAAGTAAACAAGTTTTCCGTGACTCAGTCTAAAATTAAGTGCTTTAAATTGGATCGATTTATTGCAATAAGGCTGTTGCTTAATTGTACTAATGAGTTTATTCGCCTTTTCATTTGCAGGTATGGTGTTGTTCATGAAGATTATGAAGAAGAAGAAGGCGTAGGAACTGTCTCCAAACAAATCAAACTAATGATTGTACTCTAAGCAAACGCTTAACGCTCGTTCCGCTCCCGAGTTCAAAAGGTTATCCTAAGAGCCCCCCCCAAATCGTGTAAACAGACCCACATTAAACGATCGAAAGCCGCCCAGCGATTTATTTATGAATAGTTTATGTACAAGCGAAAGCAATTAGAATATGGTTATTGAGCATTTTTGTTCTTTCCGTAAGTGTATTTGGATCCGTATCTTAATCTTTTAAACTATTCGGCGGCTATGAGCTCTGTAACGCCATTCTTGGTGATCAGCTGCAGCAGAGATCCAGTTTTGGGCCTCTCTTGAGCTTGCGTCCACTTGAGGAAAAGGCCGGCCACCTCAGCGAGGGAAGTCCAGGTGCCAAAGTCCGCATCCGGCATCCATTTACGGTTCATGGGTGTATCTAGGGTGACGGGTAGGATGGACACGGCCAGGGATCCAGCTGGCAGGCCGGACTTCTCAGCGCCCAGCGATCGGGTTAGCTGGTGGACAGCTGCCTTGGCCATTCCATAGCCAATCATGCCGGGAGTTCCCTCCAGAGCAGGTTTAGCTCCGGTTAGGGCCAGCAGGCCACCCTCCTTGAGATGCTGAGCCGCCACAGCTGCGGATATGGCCGAGGTCCAGACGCTCTGCTTCCACATGAGATCGGCATTCTTGGCCAGATCCTTTTTGGCATTGCCACCTGCCCAGCCGCCGGCCACGCAGATGACAGCATCTAGCTTCTCGCCGGCCAGGGATTCGCTCACCTTGGAGACCACCGCGTCCTCCTGTTCCGACCATATAGCATCGCGTGGCACCACGATGCTCACATCGGCTTTCTCGTTCTCCGTCAGGTCGATGCTGCCCACCCACTGGACGGGATTATCCAGGTGAAGGTCGAACCGGGGGAAAACAATGGGTAATGAGGCATTTTGATAATTACATTCAAGTGAAAGGTAACTCACATAATTGTTGGCTTTGAAGTGATCGACACAGGCAGAGCCCAAGGCTCCCTTGCCGCCGTAAATAACCACTCGACCTGCGGACATGATGCGTGCTGCCAGTTTTGAAGCTTGAATTCAACTGATTTCGAAGAAACACGAGAATCGCGCGACTTTGGTGAGTCAAAAGCGGGCGGGAGCTTTGAACGCAGCTGGGGTTTTTAACCGCGCGAGACCAGTTCTACTGGTAATTACTCGGGAGAATAAATTTCAAGTTAAGTTTGAGCTGGAGCTTCGAGCTATAGCTTTTTATTCGCTCCGGGAAAACAGCAGCAGCAGCAGCAGCGTAGCAACAAGTGGAAAATCAATAAGATGGTCAAATGAGACGTAGCACGGTCACACTGGCAGCAAGACGCGTTATTTTGGTATTTATTCTGGTATCGAACAGCTGTTCGACACAATCACCCGTCTCGCTCTCGCGCTGCTCGTTGGTCGTTTTTGAAAAGGGAAATGCGTGAAATTCGTGCGCCGCATTTCCACCAGAACAGACCAGAGTTTCGCGCCGTAGCCGAGTTTTTCACTCAGTCCCACCAGTCGCCGTCGCGTTACGTCACGAGAGCAGTTGTAGAACATATCGGCAAACGGTAAATATTGGAGGGAGTTTTTCTTGGCTTGATTAACTGGTAAACTTCGAAGCAAACCCCCCACCCGCACTAAATTTTCCTTGGCACCCACAACAACAAAAAAAAAAAAAAAAGAAAGGAAACGGACAAACACACATGTGCTTGTGTTTTATTTTTTCGGCAGCCCAAGTAGACGGCGCGTAGTTTTTCACTTTGACGGGAGTTTTCCTTTCGCCCATCGCCACACACTCATTTCTAATTGTGATTCGTAGGAAGTAAGTTCTCTAGTGCAAAATATATTCAAATAAAATAGTATAATTCCATGTCAATAAATCGGAACACAACAATAAATACACCACCAAAAATATCAAAAAGAAAAAAATTATATATAATCAAGAGAATATCAACATAAACCAACCAACGCACCCGTCGTCCCATCGTCTTTGGTCTTCTTGTTCAACGTTCGTTAAAATCCCGCATCGAGATAGAGCTATACATCTGTAATATGCAAGATATATAGATGATACGTAATAGCTTTCTGGAATTGCCGCTGCAACTGTAAACTGTGTCCCCACGTAAGACGCAACGTAACGCAGCCTGAGAACAACGTATCGTAACGGAACGGAACCAATCGGAAGAAATCTCTCCAGAGGACCCAACAACTAACGGTGAGTTTTTTTTCGATGGAAAAGCGGTGGGTGGGGGTCCAATTGGGGAATGTGTCACTCGCAGGGAAAATGAAAAATGCCAGGCGAAAATTCTTGGCCATGCAACTCGTTTTGCCGCTCTCCCTCTTTCCCGCGCATACGTGCGTGTGTGTGTGTGTGTGCGTGTGTGTGTGTGTGTTTATGCAGCGGAAAACGTGTATTCTTGAGAAAAACCAGAAAATCGAAACCCGGAATTGGGTCAGTGTGTCATTCGCCATCCCGCTCCCACCGATTCCAATTCCGATTCCGATTCGAGCTGCTAGTCTAGCTAAAAACTCTGGCTAAAACGTGTTTCGTGCTTAGTCAATTTGTTCTTTCTATCTAGTCGCTTTGTCGCAGTCGACGTCGCTGCTCTGCCACTTGACTAAATCGGCCTAAACCAAACAGCATCGCCTCCAGAATGTCACAAAAAAAATAAAACAAAGCACTACCACTGCACGTGTGCGAGCGAGAGGCCGGCGGAAGGTGGGAGGGAGACGGGGAGTCTGATTGTCATCCGCGCGGCTTTTAAATGCCCTTTACTTAAGTGAGTTATGATGAAATGATCCAGCGATTGGAAATAGAGATCTTTCACCGGAAAGACCATTTTTTAATTGCATAATAATATGATATGAAACTTGTCCCTTTAGAATTTTTTTTTTTTTAGGGATATACAAATGTAAGAGCTAACATTAGTTTAGTTAGTATATAGTTTTGTAATTTATTCAGCTTTGTTTAATTTTTCGAGGAGAAAGTCTTATGATTATATAATCAAAGCAACTTATTACATGGTTGACCTGATAGTTCCATAAATTTATCGACTTTCTCGGAAGTCTTGATAGAATGTTTAGAGAAGATTTATAATTAATTTTTATTTATCTTAAATTTACTGCTGATTTGAATAAATTCATTGCCTTAGTTTTTCAATGGTAACTTTTACCAAGTATCTCAGATTCGATAGCTTATTTTTTTTAAGGCAAATGGCTCGCTCTTTGACTTCGTAGTTGACTCTCTAGTTTTTTTCGGCCACTCGCTTCACTTGATCTTGCACTCGGTTATGCGGCAGAGGTGCAGCGACTGCGCTGCTGACGTCGACTGCGACTGCGACTGCCGCGCTTTTACCTTGAGCACGCCTGCACTTGTCGCAGCCCCCCTCTCAGCCCACCTCTCCACTCCCCCTCTCCCCACTCCACTTGAATTTGAACTTCTAAAAAAGCCAACACCTTTCGAAATTGTAGCCACATTTATTTCTGTTTCTTTTGCCTCTGGGCAGCGGCTTTTTTTATACTTCTGATGTTTGCTAATAAAATTATTACGACTTGGCCGACAGCGGCTGCTAATGCGTTTTAAGGTCGCCGCTCTTGTTGATTTTGACCCAATAAAAAATATGATGATGCCCGCGCTTACATTTCCCGGTCCATTTAACATGTGTCCATTGCTTCAGGATCCGATTTGATTTATTTCAAACTTATTTATTATACAACCAGGCGCAAAACAAAACAAACAAACAACTGAAAAAGGGGGCAAATTGGAGAGAATGGCAGACAGCTGGTGCTCATTTTCCGGGATGCGAAAATGGGGATAGAATTGGAAAAGTGCACAGGGAAAAACACTAGTTTCAGGTTGTGTACTTAGAATGAGGAAAAGGTTTGTAGAGAAAAAATACATATTTCCAAGACAGTTCTAGACAAACTATGTATTAACTGATTTTATCTATTAGATATTTAATTTTATTAAAGCTTAAAATTAAATAAAAAAAAATTTCAGAGAAAATATTTATCAAAATTGAAATGCTCTAACGATTTGTGTAGTAAATTAAGCCGTCAGTACTAAAAACATTATTGAAAATATTCATATCCTAGGAATTCACAATTAAAGAAGCTGATATTTGTTTTTATGTTTAAATTCAAATTGAGAATGAGAAAGATTACCCTGTTACTATGTACCTTTTTAATAATGTAATGGTATATAATGTATATTTCATCATAACACAAATGTAGAATTGATGCCTTTAGATAAATTATTCTGATGACGTTAAAATAACTGAAAACAGATATCCAAAAACATGTTACACGTTACATCATAGCCGCTGCGAATTCATGATAAATGACTGATATTTTTCTCTCTGTGGGGAACTTGGGGGATAGGGATAACAACGCGGAAGAGGCTCCATTATAGGTTGCTGGTTTACTAGTTAACTGGGCCCAAACCGAGGGAGAGAAAGGGAAAGGCGGTGAAAGAGAATGAGAAAGAGAGAGGGCACAAGAGGGGAAGCGGGTGGGTGACACTGACAGTGGAGCACCTTCGTCATCGTCAAGCATTCGGCCTGTATAAGAGCAATAAATAATGCACACGAAGAGCAGTGATGAGAGTCAGAGATATAGCGCGATATCGGGGGAGAGATTCGAGAGAGAATTCTGAGAGAGCGGCGCAAAGCAGCGCTGCCGCTTTGGGGGGTTGGTTGTGTTTGATTTTTGCACTTAAGAGCGAAAAGAATAACTTTGATTTTCCGCCTGCTTTTCTCGCGAAGTTTGGGGCATGCCAACTTTGATGGCCGATTTGACCAACCCCCAAAGGGAATTCCCAACTTCCCTCATTAAATTGATAACGCTAAGTATACGTAATTTAATTTGATTTTTGTGGGACACAACCAACGGAAGGAGATTTAACAGATTGTACTTTGCGTTCATGTAGTCAATTGGAAATTGGTTTTTCAATAGTAAATGTTTACTATCTTATCTAAATTTTTTTGTATATAATTTTTTAATAATTGTTTTTGAACCATGACCTTAACGATGCGTCTGATAAAATATTTAAAAATATAATTTTGACGTAAGGCTATTATAAATATTATAATAATAAGTCTACAGTTGTTGTGGTGCATCTATTTTGGCCAGAGAGTATCCACTCGAAAACATTTTCATTTCTTTGGCAACATTGTTGTTGGCGCTGGGTGTAAAAGTGGGTGTTGCGTGGGCAGTCGCCCAACATTTGCATGCCCCCAACACGGCACATATTTTCTCAGTTCTCTGCGCTTCTCATGCTTCTCACGCGTCTCTCGCTACTTTGCTCTCTCTGGACGCCAAGTATATAGCCCGAGTTCCAATTGGGATAGGGATGCGAAGGCTAGTGCTAACCTATATAATTTTTTTGTTCCGTTTCTAACAGCAAGCACATCCTCCTCCCACCAAAAAGGGAAGGAAATCAAAACCTCTGGCATTTGAAGGTTCTTTTTTTTTTTTTTTACATTTTTAAAGCAATTGCTGATTTTCATTTTATTTTTTCTCATTTTCCCTCGCTGCACGTTGACTGAGGCAGCGCAGCAGCTTTTGGTTGTGCTTCTGGCTTTGAATTTAATGTTAAGTATACGCATCAGTGAACTCAATTTAATTATCATGATTGTTTCGCCCGCTGTCTTTGCTTTCGCTTTGCTTTGCCGTTGATGAAATTCAAATTTTCCAACTTCACAAACAGACGATCTCGCATTCACAGACCAATTTTCCAACGTGTTTTCCGCTTTTTCAGCTTATGTAAGTGAAACGTTGAGTGCTGATAAAAAATAAAAATCAGAAATGAAAAAAAAAAGCTGGCTAGCTAACTGGCTGGCTGGCTGACTGGCCATAATTATTACGAGCTTTAGATTCGCCCTTCGCCCATTTTTTATCAGTGGCGTTATTTATGCGTCCTCCCACAATGACAAAGTTCTGTGGAGCGGGGAGCGTTTTTGATAGACAACAATTGAGCATTTGAAGTGCAGCGTAGCGCAAAGAGAACTCAAAAGTGAAAAAAACACAGAAAAACTGGCTGCCGTTCTCGTAGCCAAAAACCCAAACGAAAAGCAATTAAGTTGCCTCGGATCATTGCACAACAAGTAAAGAATCAAAAACTCGAAACATAACTGTGTTTGCCCGTCCAGCCAAAACCGTTGACGTTTCTGCCCGCGTCGCTGCCAGCGCTGCACACTGCTTTCGGCTCATATGAATAACAATAGGGCTAGTTTACCAGCTAGAACCTACCGAATACGGCTAATTAGTCTAGAGCCCGAAAAAACAAGGTGTCGCTGACCACGCCTCAGTGGCTAGAAATTTAAATAAACGCGGGATTTGCTCGCTTTCAAATCATGGTTGTATTAAACAAATTGATTATAATACTTTTTGTTGATGAAACATCCTAACCTTCAATTCAACTTATTCATATATGTACACTGTACATGTACATATAAATAGGCAAGCTTTTAAAATACAAATCAACTTCTGGCATCGAAATAACTTTGGGTTATTAAACCCGTATTAGTACTCTTCATTGCAAATAAAACTACTTACAATTGTTATTCTTTGGCTGTTGAAATAGTTCAATTAAACTCATTGCGACTTTGAAAACCGCATTTATTTCCTCTCAGCTTTAACAATTACATTATAATATGTATTCAGTAAACTTTATTTTTTAATTTAAAACGTTAATAAATTAAGTGTTTACTTTGTATTATTACTATACTTTACAAAGCATAATCATATTTAAAAAAAAAATTGTTTATAACTAAACAGTACGTATTTGTGAGTATAGAAATACAAAAAAAAAGTTCTTAGTTTCCAAGTGCCGCTTTGTTTCTAGTTAGATTTCTGTTTCCTCGCTTTTCCAATTGGCATTTGCCGATGCAATGGCACAGTCCCAATCAGATAATCGCAACCTTAACCGTTATTAGATCACTGTACAGCTGCGTCGCAGTCACCGTCTCTTTCTCGTGCGACAACAAAAACTCTAATCGGAATGGGAGATTGTGTGATTGAGAGAGTGGGTGGTGGGAGGTGGAAGGTGGAAGGTGGGCGGTGTGTTTTAATAAATAGGCCAAATATGTAATATTGCTAAAATGTGTTTATTGTAATCTTTTTCACACACACAAACACCCACACACACCTATAGCAACGCACGTGCATCATTGCATCCCTCGAATTTTCGCTCAAAGAGAGCAAGCGCGGTGTTAA